AATCTGTTATTATACACCAGGTCAACTTACACTACTCTCACGTTCCTCCTACTGGACTACTGACCGACTCATTGCATAATGTCCGTGGTCAAGTCCATCCTACTGGACTACTGACCGACTCATTGCATAATGTCCGTGGTCAAGTCCATCCTACTGGACTACTGACCGACTCATTGCATAATGTCCGTGGTCAAGTCCATCCTACTGGACTACTGACCGACTCATTGTATAATGTCCGTGGTCAAGTCCATCCTACTGGACTACTGACCGACTCATTGTACAATGTCCGTGGTCAAGTCCATCCTACTGGAGTACTCACTCACTCATTGTATAATGTCCGTGGTCAAGTCCATCCTACTGGACTACTGACCGACTCATTGTACAATGTCCGTGGTCAAGTCCATCCTACTGGACTACTGACCGACTCATTGTATAATGTCCGTGGTCAAGTCCATCCTACTGGACTACTGACCGACTCATTGCATAATGTCCGTGGTCAAGTCCATCCTACTGGACTACTGACCGACTCATTGTACAGTGTCCGTGGTCAAGTCCATCCTACTGGACTACTGACCGACTCATTGCATAATGTCCGTGGTCAAGTCCATCCTACTGGACTACTGACCGACTCATTGTATAATGTCCGTGGTCAAGTCCATCCTACTGGACTACTGACCGACTCATTGTATAATGTCCGTGGTCAAGTCCATCCTACTGGACTACTGACCGACTCATTGCATAATGTCCGTGGTCAAGTCCATCCTACTGGACTACTGACCGACTCATTGTATAATGTCCGTGGTCAAGTCCATCCTACTGGACTACTGACCGACTCATTGCATAATGTCCGTGGTCAAGTCCATCCTACTGGACTACTGACCGACTCATTGTATAATGTCCGTGGTCAAGTCCATCCTACTGGACTACTGACCGACTCATTGTATAATGTCCGTGGTCAAGTCCATCCTACTGGACTACTGACCGACTCATTGTATAATGTCCGTGGTCAAGTCCATCCTACTGGACTACTCACTCACTCATTGTATAATGTCCGTGGTCAAGTCATTCCTACTGGACTACTGACCGACTCATTGTACAATGTCCGTGGTCAAGTCCATCCTACTGGACTACTGACCGACTCATTGTACAATGTCCGTGGTCAAGTCCATCCTACTGGAGTACTCACTCACTCATTGTATAATGTCCGTGGTCAAGTCCATCCTACTGGACTACTGACCGACTCATTGCATAATGTCCGTGGTCAAGTCCATCCTACTGGAACTGACCGACTCATTGTATAATGTCCGTGGTCAAGTCCATCCTATTGGACTACTCACTCACTCATTGTATAATGTCCGTGGTCAAGTCATTCCTACTGGACTACTGACCGACTCATTGTATAATGTCCTTGGTCAAGTCCATCCTACTGGACTACTGACCGACTCATTGTACAATGTCCGTGGTCAAGTCCATCCTACTGGAGTACTCACTCACTCATTGTATAATGTCCGTGGTCAAGTCCATCCTACTGGACTACTGACCGACTCATTGCATAATGTCCGTGGTCAAGTCCATCCTACTGGACTACTGACCGACTCATTGTATAATGTCCGTGGTCAAGTCCATCCTATTGGACTACTCACTCACTCATTGTATAATGTCCGTGGTCAAGTCATTCCTACTGGACTACTGACCGACTCATTGTATAATGTCCTTGGTCAAGTCCATCCTACTGGACTACTGACCGACTCATTGTACAATGTCCGTGGTCAAGTCCATCCTACTGGAGTACTCACTCACTCATTGTACAATGTCCGTGGTCAAGTCCATCCTACTGGAGTACTCACTCACTCATTGCATAATGTCCGTGGTCAAGTCCATCCTACTGGACTACTGACCGACTCATTGTATAATGTCCGTGGTCAAGTCCATCCTACTGGACTACTCACTCACTCATTGTATAATGTCCGTGGTCAAGTCATTCCTACTGGACTACTGACCGACTCATTGTACAATGTCCGTGGTCAAGTCCATCCTACTGGACTACTGACCGACTCATTGTACAATGTCCGTGGTCAAGTCCATCCTACTGGAGTACTCACTCACTCATTGTATAATGTCCGTGGTCAAGTCCATCCTACTGGACTACTGACCGACTCATTGTATAATGTCCGTGGTCAAGTCCATCCTACTGGACTACTGACCGACTCATTGTACAATGTCCGTGGTCAAGTCCATCCTACTGGAGTACTCACTCACTCACTGTATAATGTCCGTGGTCAAGTCCATCCTACTGGACTACTGACCGACTCATTGTATAATGTCCGTGGTCAAGTTCATCCTACTGGACTACTGACCGACTCATTGTACAACGTCCGTGGTCAAGTCCATCCTACTGGACTACTGACCGACTCATTGTACAATGTGCGTGGTCAAGTCCATCTTACTGGAGTACTCACTCACTCACTGTATAATGTCCGTGGTCAAGTCCATCCTACTGGACTACTCACTCACTCATTGTATAATGTCCGTGGTCAAGTCATTCCTATTGGACTACTGACCGACTCATTGTACAATGTCCGTGGTCAAGTCCATCCTACTGGACTACTGACCGACTCATTGTACAATGTCCGTGGTCAAGTCCATCTTACTGGAGTACTCACTCACTCATTGTAAAATGTCCGTGGTCAGGTTTATAGTATAATGTCCATGGTCAGGTTAATTGTTAAATGTCCATGGTCAGGTTTATAGTATAATGTCCATGGTAAGGTTTATAGTATAATGTCCATGGTCAGGTTAATTGTTAAATGTCCATGGTCAGGTTTATAGTATAATGTCCATGGTAAGGTTTATTGTATAATGTCCATGGTCAGGTTAATTGTTAAATGTCCATGGTCAGGTTTATAGTATAATGTCCATGGTAAGGTTTATTGTATAATGTCCATGGTCAGGTTAATTGTTAAATGTCCATGGTCAGGTTTATTGTTAAATGTCCATGGTAAGGTTTATAGTATAATGTCCATGGTCAGGTTAATTGTTAAATGTCCATGGTCAGGTTTATTGTTAAATGTCCATGGTCAGGTTTATTGTTAAATGTCCATGGTCAGGTTAATTGTTAAATGTCCATGGTCAGGTTTATTGTTAAATGTCCATGGTCAGGTTTATTGTTAAATGTCCATGGTCAGGTTTATTGTTAAATGTCCATGGTCAGGTTTATTGTTAAATGTCCATGGTCAGGTTTATTGTTAAATGTCCATGGTCAGGTTTATTGTATAATGTCCATGGTCAGGTTTATTGTTAAATGTCCATGGTCAGGTTAATTGTTAAATGTCCATGGTCAGGTTTATTGTTAAATGTCCATGGTCAGGTTTATTGTTAAATGTCCATGGTCAGGTTTATTGTTAAATGTCCATGGTCAGGTTAATTGTTAAATGTCCATGGTCAAGTTTATTGTTAAATGTCCATGGTCAGGTTAATTGTTAAATGTCCATGGTCAGGTTTATTGTATAATGTCCATGCATGGTCAGGTTTATCCTACATAACTTTATAGGGTGATAATAGGTAATTGGTTTTCAGAAAGATGATGCCTTACTTTTACGGTTTTTGTTTTATAAAAACCTATCACTAATCTTGAATCTGATATGCTTGTCAGAATGATGATATTGATATAATATAACGTAAAGATAAGATAAACAAATGACGTCACCTAGTCCTGAGCACCCTCAGACGTGTTGTTTGGTTAAAAAAGTGACCACACTAGTCCCGTATGCCAGTTTTAAAGAGGCCTCGTCTCACCCCTATGCTGTTCATACAGATCTAGGTTCTTTTTTTTTCTACACGAAGTCTCTGTGACGTGAAGTTGACATTTAGCTGAAAGCTTTGTTTTACCCGTGCTACCTGTTTACTGTAAATACACGTTAAACATTGAATTCGTAGTGACAAAATAAAATAGCAATGTTTGAACAAGTCGAGTGGACGATCTATCAAAGTTGAGTCTAAAGCAATGCTTCCTGGTATGCCATACTGTTAAACAAACCAATAGGTGTTTGTAACTAAATCGTTTGTTTGCCCTCTCTCAGACTAATTCTACTCGAGTTGTCAGACAACGTTTACTTGTTGCTTTGTAATAGTATTTGTTCTGATAATTGACAGTCCTAATGTCACGTATATTGGTGTGTCAAATACAAATACAGAAAATGCAAAATTTGGACGTGTCTTATCTCTCTGCAATATGTTTACTCGGATCTGTTCAAAAGCGTAATGAAACCGTTTGTTAGAAAATAATTTTCCTGTTTGAATATATTCATGCAATATTAGTTATTTTAATTTTTACTCTTATGTGATTTTACAGAGTGTACTTTAAGTTAATACGGAAGAAGAACAAAGCAAATACCGATATTACAATAAAATATCAATTAAAACTCAGATTTGAGTAAAATAGGGCAAACTTTCATCAGGCTCTTACAAATGTATAAGGTGAATAAGACCAGATGTTCCTGAGGAGTAAGCGCCCTCTGCTTCGCAGACGACACCTGCCTTGTAAATCTTGGTCAATTTGAGTATTTTTGTGAATAATCTCACGTTCCCAAATGAGAACAAGGTAAACAATAACGTAATCACAATACATATTAACGAGCATTAAACACGTCTAACTTTATTTCACACACGAAAATAAATTTCATCCCAATGAGATGAATATGACGCCCGTTAAAGTTGACAAAATCTAATACATTTAGGAATCGTCCAGATATCGAAAGTTAGAATTTGGAGTAAAAAACAAGACATCAAGGACATCCCCAAGAGGAGGGAGCTTTGTGATCTGTACCTCTCTGTATCTAATTTCTGTACGATATAAGTCATTGTCAGTGACCCACTGTTAATGTTCATTGGATAGTACAGAATCGTGTAAAGTGTTCCTAGCGTTTTTGTGGGTGCATCGTGTTAACTTCGGCATATAAATACGTGTAAACCTTCATTAATAAACTTTTCCTCTGTTGCAGCTGAACGCAAAACTTCTTTGGGCAAGAACTGGCACCCGTCATGTTTAAAATGTGAAGAATGTGGTAAAATCTTAGCACCTGGTGCACATGCAGAGGTAAGTATTTTCTGACGTCACGCCAGGTTTTGGTCAATCAAACTTGACAGAATATAATTCATTGACTGTCCTATGCCTGAAGTGGTCAGTTGTGCTCTAGTCCTATATGCGTAGGTCTGTCAGATCATACTTGCTTTACATGCACACAGAACAAAATTGAATCTGTAGCATGACATTCTCATGAGACCATTGACAGTGAACTCAATAGAATACACATATGTGTCCCAATCATTTGATTTCAATGAAGTCTTATCATATATAACCGTATGTTGGTAATGAACTCGGTGAATATATCGTCTTCAATAAAGTCTGAAGCACTGTGCATTTGTGTGTTTGCATTATGGACAAAGTGATTGCAGTTAGATGACCTTGTCCCTGTGAAGTTTCAACCATCGGATCATCATGATGAATCCTTATTAGCTGCTCATAACCTAGGGCCATTAAGAACCGAATTGTGTACAGCAAAGACGTGCTGTTTATAGCTTAAGTATATAACATAAGACAAATTGAATCGATAGTGTATAGTAACGTGTGAAATGTCCCTACGTCTGTACATATTACAGCATCTGTCCGTATGTCTGTAATTCTGTACCGTCATACACTGTAAACACTGTTCGCATGATACCTGGTTAAGACAACAGAAGCTATATATATGACAGTCGTTTACCGATAAAGAGTCGATTTTAAAATAGCTCTACGATCGATCGACTGTCGTGCATGTGTCACTCAGACCGAGTTAAATACGGATGCATCTCGATATTTCAGTATATCTTCTGTGGGCTATTTCTGTCACTAAATTGCTTGATCTAAATACATGTGTTTACATCACAACCGGTGGGTCATTGTTGATACCACTAATAGACTAAAGGTGAGGTCAGTTAAATACGTTTCTTTTCCTAATCTGTTATAGGTGTTCAGTTCAATTGAATTTTTTCGTGTAATGGAATTCATTAAGTGTAGGATGATGGTGATAGAGATATGTGTCAGTGTGGATTACTGATTCCACTCATAAGCGGCATTGGCGAAGTTTATCGATATTTTATGGACATTGTGAATCACCGCACGGGAGATGTTCGAATGTCTATCGATGACTATTTAATTTGATACAATAAGACTTCATCCATGGCCTCAAGGCAGACAAGGGTGTGGCACAGAGTGTCGTGGAATAGCATTCCAAACTGTTTTATTTGATGTGCGGGGAGATCAGTTTTTGGACCTTGCTATTGTTAGATCGTAACCCTTTCCTGTCGCTGTAGATGTATATCAAATGGGTTATAACAGATCGAATATGCAAAAAGAAAAGATAAACATCACCTCGACAACGAAACTAGTATTAACTGCAATAAAAATAATATTGCGAGCAGTGCACGTGCCTCCGGTTACCATCATTGTTGATTCGTTCTACTCTTAATCCGCGTTTCAATCTTCCCCGGAGTGACAGCAATGGCGAATAATTTGAGTGTCACAGAGAAAGAGATAAAAAGTTAGCTTTGTGATTTTATAAAAAAAATTACGTTTTTTCCCTATAAATTATTTCCTCCTGGATGTCGGTGATGAACCCAGCAGATTCAGAACCCCTATTGATTTGCCGCTGAAGCGCCGAGATTAACACTGCCATCACAGAGAATACATGTCAATTAAGGACTACTGCTGACTGTCTTATATATGGTGTTGTAAAGGATAATTCAACTAGATTTATAAAAGTTTGTTTTTGCAATTATTGCAGAAATTTTATGAATAATGGCGTTCTTAAACATTTATGAAAAGGAATAAGTAAACAATGTAATAATTATATAATAAATCTAAAGTAAATATTTCCTGAATGGCCATTTATGTCTTGACAGGCATGTAATGATAATAACAACAATAGTAATGATTGTGGAGGCTGTCTTTTCTTTTGTATGCGTGTAATTCCAGGATGATAAACTTGCTTTGAATATTTCCTGTACAGATGTATGCAAATCAAATGTGCTTATGGGAAGGTTGTTTCGGGGCAAATCGATTTGGTATTCGAATGCACAATGTGATGTAGGGATCACGTGGTTTTGAAGCAGACGGGATCTGGTGAGAATAAATCCTAGGGCTTTTTCTTTTTACGGTGAATTAGGCGAATATCACAACAGGGACGTGGCAATCGATCGCTTGGCGTCAAACAGGTGATTTGGACACTGATAAAGCGAGCTGGACCACATGATCAATACGCGAGTTAACGTTAGTTCCAACACAATTCTATCATGGAGTGTCGCGAGGTCCCAAGATAAATAGCATAAGGTGTCACCATATCGGGAATCTCCCGGTGTAGCCCTTCCATACTGCCCTCTGCCACGGAATGTCGTGACGTCAGCGGTCCTCCATTACCTTTTCGTGGTACTTTGCTAAACACGTGTTGCATCCTACCAGTTGACGATAAATTGCAACAGCACTTAAAACAATTAATAATGTTGAGATATCGGACATTGCCTGTCGCTGTTGAATCCTCAGAAATCCCTCATAACACCCGTGTGTTATATAATCGTGATGGTGACATTCCAGCAGTCAGCTGATGAAAGCATTAAACCGTTCCCTGAAAATCGTTGATCCAAGCCCGGGAAATCAATAATTTCAAAAGTAATTAAAGATGATGAGAACATATTGTGACGTCACTATAAATTGCTATGCTTTTCCAGCGTATTACACAGTAAACGTTTACTGATAATCGGTAGCTCATCACTGATACCCTTTGATACAAACATACCTCATTTTACCAAAGGAATTTCCTTATCTCTACGTATCATATTGTCTACTGTTGTCACTACGCTTGGAAACTCTTTGTGAAACTCATTTTTCAAATAAATGCTTAGAGCTGACAGACTTTGGAAGTGGAGTTATCAAGTGCTAGTGACAGCACAATGTCAAGCATAACACCATGCTACTTAAACCTCTTCATCTTATGGCGAATGTTGTGTCAGATGTATACGGTGCCCTACGATCGATAGTGTTGTAGCCTGCAGGTGCTCGATTTGCTGATCATTGCCTCCGCTGTGGGTAATGTATTCCAGCACATATTGAGTTCCTATTGCAATGAAACTCGGCAGTAAAAAGTGTAATCTGTGTCAACTATTCACGAACCGTTCTAACAACATCACTTACGTTTACATCCATACATATCATTCTACACTGAAATCTGCAATCTTAATTGAAATCTTAGTGTAACGTCAATAAAGCTCATTTTGTCAGTGGCGTTTGTGGACATGATGGGATATATTATATCCCTGATAAACTGATTCGTGTTAATTGGTGCTGATCATTATCCGTAAGTGAATCAACTCTCTATCACACGTTGCAAGTCAATGTTGGTTACTCACAAGTACTGAAAAAAGATGAACACATGATTGAGATACAAACGAGATAGTGAACTTACAATTTGTACATAATGTCAGCAATCGAACTAACGTAAGGCCTGCATATTTCTAACAGTCGAGTTAATGAAACGTCTGACATACATGATACTATAAGGTCGTACATGTGGTATCAGTCGGAACAGCTTTACTGTAGGTCATCAAATACTGGTTATTATGAAGTAGGTCATCAAATACTGGTTATTCTGAAGTAGGTAATCAAATACTGGTTATTATGTAGTATGTCATCAAATACTGGTTATTATGAAGTAGGTCATCAAATACTGGTTATTATGTAGTAGGTCATCAAATACTGGTTATTATGAAGTAGGTCATCAACAACTGGTTATTATGAAATAGGTCATCAACCACTGGTTATTATGAAGATGGTCATCAAATACTGGGTTTTGTGAAGAACATGTTGGTCATTAAATACTGGTTATGATGAAGAAGGCCTTCAGCCATTAGTTATTATGAAGTAGGTCATTATTCACTTGTTATTACGAAGTAGGTCGTCAGCCATTGGTTATTACGAAGTAGGTTAGAAATCACTTGTTATTATGAAGTAGGTCAACATCTACTTGTTATTACGAAGTAGGTCGTCAGCCATTGGTTATTACGAAGTAGGTCATCAGACGAGTTATCATGAGGCAGTTATGTACGCTATCAACAACCGCACACTTTTTCAAACCACAGTACTTGTTGTGGAAAGGCTTCATTTCATACAATCAAAAGAGTATGAATGTATCAAACTGCTTATCGTGCTACACTCTCGTCTTCCTTGATGTATTCAAGATATCTGATCAGATTTAATTCTGTTCCACTTAATGCAACGTAAATTTATATTGAAATGGCTGTCTGTCGTCTTTGCCCTACATGTATAAGCGGCAGACACGCAATTATTGAGATTTGTGAAAGATGAGGGATCAGTCTCCAGTGTGGACAAGAACAGTATACTGGGGATAGCTAACTAAAGGGTCCAGGTCCCAAACCAGTCATTAGTCCAATCTACATGACGTCAGCCGTGCTAGACATCTCGGCGTTTAGTGCCGATTTATATCTGTAGTTCCGGTCCAGACAACGCCAGTAAATCGCTCCAGCTGAAGAACAAATGATGTTTTCCAGCCTCATCAGCCAGGGCATACAACATTATACACGGAAATATTCTTAACTTAAGGGAGCATTGTTAACGTCTTTCTTCATATTGGCATTAGCTACATTGGAAGGTCTGGCTTCAAATGGCATCTTCAGTTGTAAGCATGCAATATAAAGTTGTTTATGTCGAAATATACGGTCGCTTAATAGACTTTCGCGTCGGTTGCCTTTTCTCCTCACGAACAAATAATTGTGACAAATCCTGTCTGTGTCTAGTCAGAATTCAAATATTTGAGATAGAGGATATGGTTCCACAAGCAAATCGCTGCCAACCTATCGGCTTACAAAGAAATGTACGTTCCAAATAAAAATATATGTATTCATATCAGAGTCAAATGTCTTTGATAAATCGTGTATAATTCAATGAACGTTTAGTCAGGACTGTTCGCGTGGCCTAGAGTAAGATCACATTTTTTGATTCCATTGCAACGCTCGGTATCTCCAACAAGACAAAAGACATGTAAAATATGTACATGCAACGATGACAATGCACTCTTTCAACATGCTGTCTGCATATACGTAAGTGGGACACGGTGAGATAGTTTGTATAAGGGAAATCGATTAAAATGTGTATATATGTATTATAGTAGATAGCTGTGCAGTGTACAAGTGCTGCAGTTTAATTCATACAATGTTCCCGAAACTGAATATACTCTAAATTGAGTTAAACAATCTATTGACAAAAACTCTCGCTTGTATAATGTCTATATTTTCTGCTGGAAATCGATATATGAACGGAAGGTTGTATGGATAGCATTGGGTTCAGCTGAACGGGACATGGTTTATAGGGAAGAAACGTTGGTTTCATATAACCAATATTGTGTCGCGTGTCATACAGTGCGGAGATTGGAAGTTCAAAAATGTACTGCATCGGGTCTATATTATAAATGATTACTTTAATGGAAATGTTTTTGTTTTTGATTTTTTTCACAAGTTAAGTCGCTCTTTATATCTTACAATGCTAAGTTTGATTCTTTTGATAAGCTGTTTTCAACGTTTGACAAATTCTTACGTGCAGCAGCAATTTTTTAGATGTTGATGTGACAGGCTGGGTCGTGATTACTGTCTATTTAAAAACCAAGTGTTTTAATATTAATGTATGATAGCGAAACTCCTTACTCCTTACGTAGAAACCCAAATCCTTTGATGAAATTCAAGTATGTCCAAACGTACTAACTGCCGACCCTAGATTTTGCGTCCACTTTTTAATTCGTACCACCACGGACTTAGATATCAAAGATCGTTAATGTTTAATCAAAACTAAAATTAATTTGTGACCGCATGGTTCCAGTTATGCTAACCTTGCAACTGCATGTATGTATCTTAGGTCAAAGGGTCAAGATGATCTATTGCGATCGTACGCCGTCCGCCGTCCGTAAACTTTTGCTTTAAAACACTACTCCTGCTTAACGCCTTGGTGGTTTTCAACCAAATTAGGTCTGAAACATCATTGGGGCGGAGGATCATTTCTTAAAATCATAAATTTGATTCAACCCCTAGGAACTTGGGGGCGGGACCCCAAGAGGGGAAATTAGACAATATTTTGCTTCAAAACTTAGGGACGGGGCTACAAAAGGAGCAGTTAGTCGATATTTTGCTTTAGAATGCTACTCCTTCTTAATGCCTCGGTGAATTGCAACCAAATTTGATCTGAAACAGTGTTGTAAATGTGTTATCATTTCTTGAATTCAGAAAGTTGATTTGACCCCTAGAGACCTGAGAGTGAGGCCCCAAATTGGAAATAATTTTGCTTTAAAACGCTAATATTCTGCCTTAGTGCTTGAACGGATTTATATCTTATGTGGTCTGGAATATCATCACGGGAATTCATCAGATTTGTCAGACTAAATTTCTTCAGTTTTGTGGTTTGCCCATCCATGTATCGATTGTCAGATGACCATTAAGGGCCATGACCCTCTTGTTGTAGTTGCATACATTTCTCTTCTCTATAGATAAATTCTAATGTGTACACTTGTGTTTCAGCACAAGGGATTGCCGTACTGTCACCGACCGTGCTACGCTGCTCTTTTTGGACCTCAGATGGTCGGTTATGGGTCAAATGTCCATTCTCCGGCCAACTACAGAAAGAGTGGTGACCATGGTACTTTGTATAACGAGGAACTGCCGTCTTTCGCCCCTAAAATGGTTTACGAAGTTCAGGTGAACGACAAGCAGACAGAAGTAATTCGGCGAAGATCGGATGTGTATTCTAGTCAGACTGTCTTATCGTCTATAGAGTCAGATACCCCAATGTCTGTACCTCAGTTTGATTCGGAAACGTAAGTTCATTGGATTAAAAACAAAACAAAACGCAACAGTAATGGTGACGTCACCAATGACGTAGTCAATACTAGTCTGACCATATGGTAGGTGATATGGTATTTAACTTTTTTCAATGTTTTGATAAAAATATTTTCGTTATCTTTCTTCCCTAAAAACGGGTACCTACACTAAGGGATTAAATTTCTGTATGATGAAAACGTTTGGATATAGTTGGTCAAGTCATTGCTGTATGGTATACTGTTGGTTTTGTTGTGGACTTTATGTGCATAGAAATCATTTTCTGTACTTTATGAAGCCAATCTAAATTTTTTAAAATAAAATAAAAATAAGATTGATAAAGTATCACTCTGTGGTCTGTGAATTAGTGGAGACTGCATGTGTACTCCCAATATTATAATCATATTCACTTACTCAAAGGTGGACCCTGTATAGTGTACATTATCTTTAAATTGAAACACACACATCCACAAGCGGACAAAAAGAACGTAAATTTTATAATACAGATCACACGATGGTGGTCACCAAAGTCCCTCAGAGATATCGGATTTTTTTTTCGATTTGGTGAAATGTTTCTGAAATATCTTGATATCATTTTGTAGCTAAATATAGATCTCGAAAAACTAGCACTTGTATTATACGTATAGTTTCCATGGATTTTACCAAACAGCTTCCTCTAAATAATGTTAGCTAATTTTGGTAAAAGATGTTAATTCAGTACGAGTTACGCCCCCTTACCAGGAAATGAGGATGGAGAATGTAAGCCCGATAGAGGTCAGTGTGTATTAGGCCTATGTGTTGATGGAGTGACTGGTCGGCAGGTAGGCCCTAAGGATGACATCGAAGAAGCTCACAAGGTGACTACTGATAATGCATTATACTTATTTACTTACCTATTAATCAGTTATCCTCAGTTTAAATACACATGCAGCATTGAGACTGAAATGTAGCAGTGCACGTGGTCTTGCAAGTTGCTTTGATGTTGTTGACACCCGTAGAGACGTGTGTCAAATTTTATTTTCTATACTCTAAACTATTAAGTCTGACGTACAGACTTGTGTTATGTTGTCGTTTTGATAGTTGTGCCATTAGTATTCCTTCGTAAAGCTATTCTTATGGTGCAGCCAGACTTGTTCATCAGCAGATATCTAAACTATAAAAAGACCCTCGCCTAGATACGAGAACGATCCATTTGGGAATGAAATCTGTCCTGTCTAGGCATATAGGGATTTATCTGCCACTGCCAAATTCTTGTTAGTGAGAATAGAATAAACGTTTGAAATGATACCAAGAAAATACACAAACTAATAGCAGTATGTACAGTACACGTATAAACATTACAGTAGACACAGTTAACTTTATCTGGGTCTTGGTTTGCACACTAAGATTTATACTTATAAACATTTTATCATCATCAACTTGAAATGGATGCTGCAGGGAATATTGTAATATATTTTTAAAAGTATGATTGTTGAAGTTACCTCCCTTTACGATTTAGGAACCTCTTGATTCCAATCCCCGAAAAGATGTTTAATCATTTGTCAATGACTCCCCTGTTTTGCTGTCAGAAATAGATTTGTTATGAAATTATCAAATGGAAAACAGTGATAATGGAAAAGGGTATTGTAGAAAAGTGTAATCAAACAGTACTATAGGAAAGGGAAATCAATATGAATCTTACTCATGCTTAAACAAACATTACCAATTCAGCTTTCCACACTTCTTCTATCCTGAAGTCGCCTTCTCAACAAATGTATGCAAATGCACATTTTTGATGCAGGAAAGAGAGGAGAGAGATGAGCAAAAAGTATCTTTATAAATGTACAGTATTGATAAGCCCATGTCTGAGTTATCTCCCTTAAAATATATAAAGATAATGTCATGATGTCTCACTTATGTGATAAAATAACATTTGATTCCATGGAAAATGAATTTTCTAACTTATCAATTTGACAGGTTTGATGGTGAGAAGCTAAGGAATTTAATATAAAGCTTGTTTGACAATTGGACAGTTTTGGTACTTCATTTGGGAAAGATTTTGTTTCATTGTCGATAAAATTACCTGGTATACACTCATCATTCTTAATACCATGTTTAATTTGTTTCAACATTGGCATGTACATATCTGGATGTGCATTATGTGATTAACATTTCAACATTCATCACAGAGTTTTAAGAAAGGATAATCTGAGACATTAAGTCTCCTTATGAATTTTAAGGAAATTATATTTCAGCTTATGCTGAAGACCTTCAAGGGAGATAACTATATATGATCATCTGATGAAGCTTTCATTACCTGTTTTGGATAAATCTTACTTTTCACCTTTGAAACTTGTAAAACTACAGTAAGATCTACATATGATTATAATATACTACCATTGGGGATCAAACCTGTTTTTCCCAGCTTCATATTGAACTGAACATAGCCTAGCAATTAGATTTAAAGGGTAATTTCTACTAATTTGAAGGTTGACGCAAAAGTTCACTTTAGAAGAAAAGAAAAGTCCACACTTTACAGCATTGTCTCTGAAAGGAAGTGCTGGTTCATTATGATCTATTTATGTTACACAGATTGTAGTTTTCATGCATTATATTGTGACTTCAAAATTACTTGTACCTTGACAAGGTAAATACTGTTAATGATAGATTAAGTTTATAAATATAGGAAACAATATTCTATTTAGTATACAGTAACCATTTATACTATCATTTTACATCCAACACATTTGATGTGGGACCTTGAGTATACAAAACTGGCATTCTGCATGTCGACTTATTACATGCCTGCTCTCTTAAGTGCTTGATTGTTGGTCTGTTTTCATTCAGTAATGATATGGTTGATGTTTGTCACTGGAACTTTGCCAGTGTCTAGTCTACCCATTTAGTACTTCGCCAGCTTTGTTTATCAGATGTTTATTGGCTGCCTAGCTCTAATAGGAGAGAAATTTGATAGGACTAGCCAAGATTCAAAGTTGTGACCTAGCAAACTCAAACAAGGTGTATTCATACCTGGTTGTTAATGAGCATGCAACTCTCCACCAAGCAAAGCATACACAAAAACGTGCATGTGTACATGTACCTGTTAGATTGAACATTAGTGTACATGTACCTTTTTGATTGAACATTAGTGTACATGTACCTGTCAGATTGAACTTTAGTGTACATGTACCTGTCAGATTGAACATTAGTGTACATGTATCTGTCAGATTGAACCTTAGTGTACATGTACCTTTTTGAATGAACCTTACTGTATATGTACCTGTCAGATTGAACCTTAATGTACATGTACCTGTCAGATAGAACCTTTGTGTACCTGTACCTGTTAGATTGAACCTTAATATACATTTACCTGTCAGATTGAACCTTGATATACATGTACCTGTCAGATAGAACTTTAGTGTACATGTACCTTTTTGATTGAACATTAGTGTACATGTACCTGTTAGATTGAACCTTAATATACATGTACCTGTCAGATAGAACTTTAGTGTACATGTACCTTTTTGATTGAACATTAGTGTACATGTACCTGTTAGATTGAACCTTAATATACATTTACCTGTCAGATTGAACCTTAAATTAATATGTACCTGTCAGATAGAACTTTAGTGTACATGTCCCTTTTTGATTGAACATTAGTGTACATGTACCTGTTAGATTGAACCTTAATATACATTTACCTGTCAGATTGAACCTTAATATACATGTACCTGTCAGATAGAACTTTAGTGTACATGTACCCTTTTGATTGAACATTAGTGTACATGTACCTGTCAGATTGAACCTTAGTGTACATGTACCTGTCAGATTGAACATTAGTGTACATGTACCTGTCAGATTGAACCTTAGTGTACATGTACCTGTCAGATTGAACATTAGTGTACATGTACCTGTCAGATTGAACCTTAGTGTACATGTACCTGTCAGATTGAACCTTACTGTACATGTACCTGTCAGATTGAACCTTACTGTACATGTACCTGTCAGATTGAACCTTACTGTACATGTACCTGTCAGATTGAACATTAGTGTACATGTACCTGTCAGATTGAACATTAGTGTACATTTACCTGTCAGATTGAACATTAGTGTACATGTACCTGTCAGATTGAACCTTAGTGTACATGTACCTGTCAGATTGAACATTAGTGTACATGTACCTGTCAGATTGAACATTAGTGTACATTTACCTGTCAGATTGAACATTAGTGTACATGTACCTGTCAGATTGAACCTTAGTGTACATGTACCTGTCAGATTGAACATTAGTGTACATGTACCTGTCAGATTGAACATTAGTGTACATGTACCTGTCAGATTGAACCTTACTGTACATGTACCTGTCAGATTGAACATTAGTGTACATGTACCTGTCAGATTGAACCTTAGTGTACATGTACCTGTCAGATTGAACATTAGTGTACATTTACCTGTCAGATTGAACATTAGTGTACATGTACCTGTCAGATTGAACATTAGTGTACATTTACCTGTCAGATTGAACATTAGTGTACATGTACCTGTCAGATTGAACCTTAGTGTACATGTACCTGTCAGATTGAACATTAGTGTACATTTACCTGTCAGATTGAACATTAGTGTACATGTACCTGTCAGATTGAACATTAGTGTACATGTACCTGTCAGATTGAACATTAGTGTACATGTACCTGTCAGATTGAACATTACATGTACCTGTACATTAGTGTACATTTACTGTCAGATTGAACATTAGTGTACATGTACCTGTCAGATTGAACATTAGTGTACATGTACCTGTCAGATTGAACATTAGTGTACATGTACCTGTCAGATTGAACATTAGTGTACATGTACCTGTCAGATTGAACATTAGTGTACATGTACCTGTCAGATTGAACCTTAGTGTACATGTACCTGTCAGATTGAAACTTAGAGTAGATTGAATAGATCCCAATAACTGTGCATGTACTTAAACATGCTATTGTCTTGATAACTGGATGGTTAGGTGCCACATTTGAATTCTCCTCCAATGTGACTGGAGTTTGATTCATCAATTGAAAAAGTATGCTGGCCCAGGCTTGTAGCAAGTCTAGTAAAATAATTGTATGGTTGCTGGCAAGACCACATGATTTTTCTTGGGAATTTCTGTTTAGCTAGTAAGACCTTTTGAGTACATGATAGCAACAATGCGGGCTTACAAGTGATGAATATATGCTGATAGCTTGTTTTGCAGTTGTTATTAGATTACATCTTGTTCCTCCTTCTTCCTGTATGAAAACATACTGATTTGGAAAGATAACCTCAATATCATGATGACCTACCAGTTACTATCTTAACTCATTTTGTGATATACGAAGAAAAAGAGATCCAACGTCCAAGAGGTAAGGCTGGTAAGTCCGGTTTCACTCCACAGCGAATTCCCTGAGGGAATACCGAGTCCGGTACCAAAGGATAGGTTAAAAAATCGGTAAGCAGGACCAGACAACGCCAATGCAGATCTTCTGTAACTTTATTAGTTGACTAGTTTCGGCACACTAGGTATGCCGTCCTCAGAACAGTGCAAATTCAAAAAGCAGGACTTTATATACTCCTGTGCCTAGCAACTACACATGTTATTTCCACCAATGTCAAAGAGAGTACACTGGTTACAATGATGTAATTAATTGGTGATGTCATAATGCAAGTAAACAGATAGTAGCGGAGTTCCGCTTTGCCCTAGGCTAATGCTATGTAATGTACAAATATCAATAAAAAGAAATTATAAAACTGATAAAGAGATACAACAATTAACAACGTTGTCTATGGTATATATAAATATATGAGAAGTCTATCCTACGGCTGGAAATATTAAACAGGTATGTAGTAAATGTTCGTTCCTAATACAGCTGTCATTAGAATCTAATTATAATAGTAGTACAAGTTGTGATATGTCATTAGATAATTGTCCAATGAATATATATATAGAATATGTCATTGTTAGTGTTAAAACGTTTGTGATATCTTGATTACAAATTGCAGCCTCCCACTTCCTTGGGAGTTTTTTGGCTGTTATATCAACTCATAAGAGTGTATTTTATGCTGGACAGCTGCTATATCTACCAGTTGTTGTATAAGTAAACACTGGCTACAGAGTCTGGGATTATACATGTGTGTGTACTATGGGCAATATACCTGGCAGTCTATTTGTGGAAGGCTTTTGATAACAGTCTGAGATAAGGACAAATGCAGATCAAGGATACAGCTGGTGCCAAAGAGGCCTGTCTGAGGAAAAACATCGATTATGAGTTATGATTTAGTGGGCTTAAAAAAGGTAGTCTGTATACACATCCCGACTCCCTAGTGAGACCATCACCTACATTGTAAAGTATATACCATCTGTGGAGACTCCATGCAACCTCTACCACCAGTTACTATCTGGGGAGATAACTCCAATACCCTCGCTGTCCAGGCCATGCAGTAAAAACCTAGGTTTATAACATCTGTGAAGATTCTAGGCCTGCTTACCTTTGTGATCAACTAGATACAAATGTAGCTGAAAATCTGTCATTTAAATAGGTATGCCATTGACATTGAGGCGTGTTCTACTCCAGTGAACAGCTACAAATTTCTTATGCTGGTGAACTGTGTTCATAAAAGATTTGAGAGGATATGTACTTCAGATATGGCTGCTATCTTACTGGAGTGGATTTACCTATATGTTTACATTTCTGCAACTTATAGGCGGAAAAACTAACCAATTCACAGGAGATCTGTGTGTCTTGTTTGTAGTACAACTGTGACTGTATACACACCCATGCTAGCTTAAGTGTTTACCTGTGACTGACGAGTATATGTTGTAAAGCCTTGACTTGGCTGGATTTTACCTGTATAGAATATCAGTGATTGATTATAGCGGTTTGAGTAGAATAAAGTTCTAGTGCTAGGTCAGTTAAAACCTGATACCAATGGCTGCTCTAGCTGAAATGGAGGATGATTACCTGGCATGGTCAGCAAGGTAAAGATATAGACATTGTGTGCAAGTGTTCCACAACATGTTTCTATATCATTTTTATTTTTATCAACAGTTATTTAAATTGGTAACAACTTGACCTAGATTTTACGCTGATGGCCCAGTGCCGCTATTTATATAGAATTACAGTGTAAATATATAAGCTATTCTGTTAATAATAACTGTCAATATTTGTTTATTTACAGACAAGAACTGCTACAAAAGATTAAAAATTTCAACAGCTACTATGAGGGGAAAACGAGACAGTCATTATCAGCAAACACAGTAAGTGACTGCTAGGTTTGAGAAACCCTTAAACATTGGTAGTGATTTGTCTACCGAGATTTGTAGTCATAGTTCGAGTTTCAACTTTCATTTTGTTTCTATCAATTTGATTTATAAAGTGTAGTCAGTAGGCTCTTTTTCTTTCCTTTTTTCCTGGTAATTTCTGTATAATATATTGTTTTTTTAGGGATAAAATGATATTATAAGGCTGCAGTCACCAGGTCTGTCTTTTGATGTGCTGAAAGTTTGAAGTGCCCATTAATTACTGTGCATATGTGTTTCCTGAAATAGTTACAATGATTTTAAATAACAAAGAAAAAAATCTTATTATAATGGGTATTTTATGGATCATGAGTGGAATCATGCAATCGCATAATGTACATGATATATATATCTGTTCTTGTATAAACTGCATAGTTATTCAAAATGTAAAATTATGTAGCTCCATTAATGTGTATACAGTATATTGGTCTCTCTATGATATGAAAAATACAGATTTTACTTCCTGTTTGATACTTCAAAAATAAATTATGAAGATATATTCAACAGCACTTTTTTATCAAGGTATACATGTAGTTATGGGGAAATATGGACTAGATTTATTATCAGACCAGAGATCAAAATGTGCATAATCCATGTAAGTTTATTTGTAATTATATAATGCAGCTTTATGTACGTGTATGTTGTCAACACAAGGCTTTAGGTGCTTTCTTTACCTTGGACCTGTGAACAGTCAGTAAACATGCAGACTTGCCATATGTTGATAAGTGTATTATTTATGGGACAACCACTAGATTACATTTTAAGTTGTAACACAGACCGTTTCTTAGTGTGTTACATCTTGTAACGTTGAATGTAAATGGGTAAATGTGACATATTAAAGTTGATATAATATTCTTGGTAAGTGTTATAGGGTAAGTAAAAAGCTAGAAACCATTACATAAACTACCTCTCTTGATCAGCTGTAGAACTACATTAGGTACAGGAAACATTGGTGGCCACCTAATAAGTGGGTGTGGCAGTAACTCACCGTGGAAGAAGTATAAAGTAATTAAGCATATTGACGCATTTAACTTCAGTTTTATTTCAAAGAGTGTGTAAATTATTTTACTAAACCAAGATTTAGAGCTGTGTGAAGGTATACCAGATTGGTGTGTATGTCATTCTGTAATAGGAATTGAAATGTTTTGCCATTAATGATGAGGGATTACTAGAAAATGTTTTACTCAGAATGTACATGCAGGGTTTTCCATAATTTTGTTAGTAGTAGGCTGTGTAGTGAAAGTAGGAGGCTGGCCTGCCGTATACATGTAGTCATGTATGGAACATTATTATGGAACTGGATTGGTGTAGGCGGCCAAATGATCAAAGTAGCCGGCGACCGGCTCTTATGGAAAACCCTGACATGGTATACATGGTACAATATAAAAGAGAATTAGTATAATATAAAAGAGAATTACTACAATATAAAAGAGAATTACTACAAAAGAGAATTAGTACAATGTAAGACAATTATTACTATATAAAAAAGAATTAGAGTAATCTTTCAAATGATGCAGTGCACAGATAATTTCACAGCATACCAAATTATCAATATGTCATTTGTATAAAGTCCTTATCTAGACATACAAGCCCCCTCAGTATGATACATTGTTTTTGTGTATTACAGCACTGTCCAGACCTAGTAATACTGGCCCCCTCAGGATAATACATTACAATTTGTATATTACAGAACAGTCCTGACTTAGTCGTACAGGCTTCCTCAGGATAATACATAATATTGTGTATATTACAGAACTGTCCAGACCTAGTAATACTGACCCCCTCAGGATAATACATTATGTTTTGTATATTACAGAACTGTCCCGACCTAGTAATACTGACCCCCTCAGGATAATGCATAAATTTTGTGTATTACAGAACAGTCCTGACCTAGTCATACAGGGCCCAGTCAGGATCTACTGGGGTGTATTTAAGCCTATACAGCTACAGCACTGCGACAATGTGCCGTCAAATCTGCACCAAACTAACTGGCGGCACAGCTTTATCCCAGGGGACATCCACCAAGGTCAGGATAACACCCCTGGTAACAATGGGTTCCCCCGTCCGCGGGCAGAGGAGCCAAGTCCATCTACCTCCTCACGAGTACCTGACCTCCTGGAGAATCTACCTGTACGTACCGCTAATCTCAGATCTGTATGACTTTAAGTTTGTGGTAAAAGTTTGAATCATAAAACTCAGTACAGTAACCTTAGTAAATGTACCTAAGTGACTAGTCCTTTTTCTTACTTGTCTGTGATTTGGTCATGATTCTATTTGTGTTTAGACTAAAGGGACTTTAGGAAAGGTCAATTAAAGTATTCGTTTTAGCATTGATTAAATCGTCCACATCAGTAGGGAAAAATGTTCATTTTCAAAAATATTTTAAAAGTTCTTAGTGAAAAACATATATAATTACAAACTGACTGATAAGGATAATTTTTATCAACAAAATAGTTTATAATACACAATGGGTGGCATGGGGTTAGGAAAGAGAATTGGGATAATGTAGTGTTTTTAAGTTAAGAAAATATTTGACAAAGAATGCAGCATAAAGGTTGCAATTTGTGGACTTACAGAAGCTGTCCTTGGAGGAGCCGTCATCCCCAAGTCATTCAAGTAAGGGGTTTGATGATAGTATCATTCAGACTCCACCAGAGGGCGTGGTGATGAGGAGGAAAAACATAAAGAAGTTCAACACAGTAGCATACCGGGGTGATTCACGACCCAACAAGTGGAAGCGAGCATCCATCAATGGTCACATCTACAACTTTGATGTAATTTCCTCCTACTTAACTTCATGTGTCACAAAATCTTCTATGATAGAATTATTGAACTGTGTCAGTTTTTTTTTGTGGTTGTTCAAGGAATATATGTAATACAGCACAAGCTGTCATCTAAGTCTGTAAAAGCATTCCTTACTACCCTTCCCCACATTGTTACATTCTTCATCTTTATTCCTGAAGCGAAACTGAAGCTTAGCCTTCAAATTGTTACATATTCTATTTGTAATCTTGAAGCTTGGAGCTGTACTGAAGCTAAACCTCAAGGTTACTCTTGTATAAATCTACTTTAGCCTAGGACTCATGATATAAATATCTTCTATCTGTGTTTCCTGCCTATTTCTTAAAAGCAAACTATCAGTTAAATTTTGTGGATGGTACTACTAAACAAAACCTTGAGTCCTGATGTTGGATAGATGGTTTACTGTGATAGCCCTAACATATAACTACTCCAATATATAACATTATACGCTCAATCCGTTCTTATTTAAAAAAAGAGAAAAAAAAAACATGTAACATGTCTATGTGAATATTTATAGGTTGTATGAACAATATGTGTTTGTACCACAGTCGACCCAATTACAACATGCAATTTGAAAGGTTAATTAGGGATATGAAAATTTTGTGGATGTACACTTCAGTTTTATACCCAAATAGGTATTCCTGTTTGTACTGTATTCCTGTGTTTGTGTGTTTCAGACGTGAGTGTTCACACCAGTGATGTGGTCTTTGTACTATATTCCAATGTTTGTGTGTTTCAGACACGGGTGTTCACTCCAGTGATGGGCAGCTGTACAAGTGTAACTGTTGACAGTACATTCTCCACACCAGATGTCATCAAAACACTGCTGGAGAAGTTTAAGGTGCATAGACAATTCATTTGGAATCAAAAATTAATATTCAGACAATTCTAGCTGATGGTATAAATTGGCGATACGTTTATGCAGATATATATATAACGGAATAGTGCACTTGATCGAGACTATTGATAATATTGTTCTGAATCTGTTGATTTTTTCCCAAGAAGTTAAGATATGCAAAGTTTATAGCTGACTTCAGATTTTAATAAAATCCCAAATCTTTCAAAAAAAAGAAAATTGCAATGCACTTAGGTGATGGTCATTGGATTCAATACAACCAATTTGACCAATTAAAGTAAAACGTTTTGGATAGCATAATAAGAACATGAAGTATTTAATGTTCACCTTGTATGTTTGTAGTCAAACACAAATTTATCACAGTAATTTATTTGCTAATTGATATCAGGTGGATAAATTTTATAGAAAGGGAGAAACTTGTAGGTCTGACATGTGGTAATGCTTGATATATGTTTGGCAGGGACTCATGTTTATACTGGCCAATCATAAAAGGGGAGGTAATAAGAAGTTTCGTGTACATTAGAACGAGTCAATACAACATATTATAGATAATGCTTCAAATACTAAATTATGATACTGTAGTTAAAAGAAAGTAGAAAGTAATGACTGGTATTGAAAGATTTGTTGTTATTTTTGTAAATTTTTGTAGGTTGATAATTTGGCTTTTAGCATTGAAGATTTGTGTATTACACAACAGATTGTACAAAATCTATTACATTGGCAATTTCTTCAATACTAGGTATCCTGGATGATTTGTTTTGAAACCTTAATATAACTGTTGATATCCTAGTTTATTGTTTGTAACCAACAAGTTTTCCTAGGAAGTTAACAGGAGCAGTTTATACAATGTAGATCTCACTTGTAGATCTGTTTTCAAATTTCTAAAAGGTTTATTGATATTTTCAGATTGAAAACCAGCCAGATGAATACTCACTATATTTAGTAACAGAAAATGCAGGTTAGTAAATGGTCATATTTATTTATCTATTGTTTGACTAAATATATAACTTTTATAACTAAGAACTATATCTGTTTACTATTACTTTGATGTGAGTTACCCTGTTAACAGCAGAAAGCATGGTGTCTAAAGTTTCAATTACCAGAACATGTGTTGTGTTTGCCACATGTTCCTGGTTGTTAATATTTTAAGAGTTATGCCCCTTCTCAGTACTTAAACCAGTTTTTCATCAACATATGTTTGCTTTGTGATAGGAGAAAGGCTTCTGAGGGATACTGATATTCCCCTACTGGAGAGGGTGGCTCTTGGACCTGATGAGGTCTCAAAGTCCAAGATATTCCTGAGGGACAAAGTGGCCACACCCAGGAAGTCTTCCCTTGTCCAGCTGGCGGTACCAGATGTAGTGGTGGAAGAGGAGGATGTAGAGGAACCTGTGCCAAAACCAGAACCACGATTACCACATGAGGTAAACACATAATGATGTAGGCCATGTTGGTTGAGATTTTATTTGACAAGACACCTTTTCATTAAGAGATATGATTTGAGTTATCTGGAATATTTGATTGTGACGAGGTCTGCATAACCTTCACCAGTAGGTGAAAGGTTTAATAAGAAAGAAAAGTTACATTGTGTAGATTTACTTTTTAAGTTGTTATGAAAATAGATTAACATCAGAACACTTCCATCTACTACAAGGGTGTAGAGTGCTATTAAAAATTTAAATTGTTAGGAGTTTTCAAATTCTGATCTGAGTGAGGTTAAAGGTTAGGTAGGTGCACTTATGTTTGGGTAGAAAGTAGATAGATTTAGAATGTATGTTATGAATAACACAGAGGTGTTGGTTAAGTGTCCTTTTTGTTCATATAGGTGGAACAGCTAATCTCTATACCAGAACCAGTACTACGAGGGATTCTTCAGAAGTTCCTCAAAGATGAAGAAACAGATATACAGAATGTCAGAGCAAGGTAAGGCCAAACTAGATTTTATACAGAAATATTTGTATGTTAAATCATAACTTTGTTTAACAGAGAAAATCCATCCCTGATATAGATAACTAATGTGTATCAGTCTCATATTTCTCTGCAAAGTGGACCTTTGTTTTAGGAATTGTAGTAGTTGTTATGTATTATCATTAGGTCTTGGTCTGTCGAATAATTGACACGTTAGTTGGGTAGTATTAAGAATTTCAGTGACCTGAAAGGTTTCATGGATTCATTTTGTTTAAAGATGGTTATGGCTAAATTTGGTTAGCTGGTTGGCATTGGTAGTTTGCTACATTTTAAGTATTGGCTGGTTACGGGTGTTCATTGGTTAGGAGTGGTAATAGGTTAGGGGTAATAATTGGTTAGGAGTAGTAACAGGTTGGAAGTAGTAATTGGTTAGGAGTAACTGGTTTTGTTACCTGGTTATGGGGTGTTTTCTGGATAGAGGTATTAACTGGCTAGGAGTGGTAACTAGTTAGGGTAGAATTTGGTAAGGAGTAGTAACAGGTTAGGGGTAGTAATTGGTTAGGAGTAGTAACAGGTTAGGGGTAGTAATTGGTAAGGAGTGGTAACAGGTTAGGGGTAGTAATTGGTTAGGAGTGGTAACAGGTTAGGAGTGGTAACAGGTTAGGAGTAGTAATTGGTTAGGAGTAGTAACAGGTTAGGAGTGGTAACAGGTTAGGAGTAGTAACAGGTTAGGGGTAGTAATTGGTTAGGAGTAGTAACAGGTTGGAAGTAGTAATTGGTTAGGAGTAGTAACAGGTTAGGGGTAGTAATTGGTTAGGAGTGGTAACAGGTTAGGGGTAGTAATTGGTTAGGAGTAGTAACAGGTTAGGGGTAGTAATTGGTTAGGAGTGGTAACAGGTAACGGGTAGCAATTGGTTAGGAGTGGTAACAGGTTAGGGGTAGTAATTGGTTAGGAGTGGTAACAGGTTAAGGGTAGTAATTGGTTAGGGGTGGTAACAGGTTAGGGGTAGTAATTGGTTAGGGGTGGTAACAGGTAAGGGGTAGTAATTGGTTAGGGGTGGTAACAGGTAAGGGGTAGTAATTGGTTAGGGGTGGTAACAGGTAAGGGGTAGTAATTGGTTAGGGGTGGTAACAGGTAAGGGGTAGTAATTGGTTAGGGGTGGTAACAGGTTAGGGGTAGTAATTGGTTAGGGGTGGTAACAGGTTAGGGGTAGTAATTGGCTAGGAGTGGTAACAGGTAAGGGGTAGTAATTGGCTAGGAGTGGTAACAGGTTAGGGGTAGTAATTGGCTAGGAGTGGTAACAGGTAAGGGGTAGTAATTGGCTAGGAGTGGTAACAGGTTAGGGGTAGTAATTGGCTAGGAGTGGTAACAGGTTAGGGGTAGTAATTGGCTAGGAGTGGTAACAGGTTAGGGGTAGTAATTGGCTAGGAGTGGTAACAGGTTAGGGGTAGTAATTGGTTAGGAGTGGTAACAGGTAAGGGGTAGTAATTGGTTAGTAGTAACAGGTTTTGGGTGTTAGGTGGCTAGGATTGGTAACTGATTAGGAATGATGTTATATTATAGGTGGTTAGCAGTGAAAACTGACAGACAGTATGACAGGTGGTTAGCAGTGAAAACTGACAGACAGTATGACAGGTGGTTAGCAGTGAAAACTGACAGACAGTATGACAGTTGGTTAGCAGTGAAAACTGACAGACAGTATGACAGTGAAAACTGACAGACAGTATGACAGTTGGTTAGCAGTGAAAACTGACAGACAGTATGACAGTTGGTTAGCAGTGAAAACTGACAGACAGTATGACAATTGGTTAGCAGTGAAAACTGACAGACAGTATGACAGTTGGTTAGCAGTATAAACTGACAGACAGTATGACAGGTGGTTAGCAGTGTAAACTGACAGACAGTATGACAGGTGGTTAGCAGTGAAAACTGACAGACAGTATGACAGGTGGTTAGCAGTGTAAACTGACAGACAGTATGACAGGTGGTTAGCAGTGAAAACTGACAGACAGTATGACAGTTGGTTAGCAGTGAAAACTGACAGACAGTATGACAGTTGGTTAGCAGTGAAAACTGACAGACAGTATGACGGTTGGTTAGCAGTGTAAACTGACAGACAGTATGACAGTTGGTTAGCAGTGAAAACTGACAGACAGTATGACGGTTGGTTAGCAGTATAAACTGACAGACAGTATGACAGTTGGTTAGCAGTGTAAACTGACAGACAGTATCACAGTTGGTTAGCAGTGTAAACTGACAGACAGTATGACAGTTGGTTAGCAGTGTAAACTGACAGTATGACAGTTGGTTAGCAGTGTAAACTGACAGACAGTATGACAGTTGGTTAGCAGTGTAAACTGACAGACAGTATCACAGTTGGTTAGCAGTGTAAACTGACAGACAGTATGACAGTTGGTTAGCAGTGTAAACTGACAGACAGTATCACAGTTGGTTAGCAGTGAAAACTGACAGACAGTATGACAGTTGGTTAGCAGTGAAAACTGACAGACAGTATGACAGTTGGTTAGCAATGTAAACTGGCAAGGAGGTTCACATATGTGGTTTAGGGTACACATGTACTTAAATGTTTAAAGAAGCAAGCATTCTGTGAAGCTTAGTTTCTATAATTCTATTCATTAATAGGTTTTGCATTCTTTGTTTTGTTGATTCCTTGATACGAGATAAGATTACATACATTGTAACCTGCTGGTAGTTATATAGATAACATCATTACCATTGTACCACTATCTATTGTAGATTTTCTGTGGCAAAAAAGAGGATCAAAGAGGAGATCGCCAAGATAAAAACAAAGATGTGACCTTGTGATGTAGTGGTAGAAACAAATTAAATTATTGACAAGTTTTTGTGATACTTGACAGGTTATTTGAAGTAAAATATGTTCTCCCACAGTTACTACATCTCGGTGTTATCAAGTGAGGGCATGGCGATTTATATGATGTTGGTGAGAAGAAAAGTAGTTTTACAGAGACGAGTAAGGCAGTTTTGTTGTTTTGTTAACGACATCCTGGTACATACTGGGTAGTTATAAAGTTCCGTATCAATTCATTTACCGTATACAATGTAATGTAAGGAAAAGTTTAAGGATGAGAATTGATTTCAAAATTTGGGTAATACCATGCTTAAATAGTTGCTTTGATATCAAAACTCTTTGGCATGATTTTTTTCTATTTCAATTAAAAAAAAACTTTAAAGAATGTTCAATTGTGAAAATGTTTAAACTCACCTTTCAGACTTTTTTTCTCTCCATTTTTTTTTATAACTTTTTGTTGTGGTTATGGCTGATTTTGATGCTGAGGTTGAATAGTCTCTAATCATTTTATGAATCTTTTAGACATTTTTAATTTGAAAATGTCATACCATAGATCATTTGTTTAATTAAATGTTTTCATTACCGAGATTTAAATTTAAAAAGAACATGTTTGAATAAATTTATCCTCTTTTAAGATACTCAGTTTATAATTTTACATATACATCAATCAACTGCTGCACACAAAGTTGTAATCATGTTTTACAGTTATTGTGAAAATGCCAAATATTTCTTACTTCACATATTTTTTTTAACTTGTTTGAATTTGTTTGTTTCCTAAATTGTGATAAATATTATGTATGTGTTTTAAAGATGGTGAGATATCAGAAAACTGTGAGGAGTGCGAGTGAATTACAAGCGAGATTCTGCAGCTAATTAACTCATGATTTCCATCTAAACTTTGGTATATAACTAGTAAATGATCTGTAACTTTCTAGGTTTACAATAGATCTGATCTACTGATACAAGTTAGTTAGGAATCTCAATTCAAATAAAAATTCTGGATTTATTTTGACTACAGAATTTTCAGTTAGCTGATTAGCTGTCCACTCTCCTGATTTAAGGGTAGAGACCCATTATCTCATTACTTCAGTAACAGAATACCTGTTAGTTTTGCATGGTACATCTTATATCAGCAGTATTGCTACACTATTTGTGCTTAGTTTAATTTGTGTTGAGTGTTTCTTGCCTCCATCACTGAGGAGGGGACATAACTCAAGACAACAACACCAATTATTGATTTAGGTCCATGCTGTTAAGAAAGAAGGATTAGATTATATTAGAGTATAGCAGTAGGTTTACCAGTATAGAATCGTGTTATGGGGTTTGTGCCTTGGCTTTCATCAGATATTAAAGAAACAATTATGGTTGTGACCAAAGTTAGAAACTCTAAATTTTTTAACCAGTAGAAAATTTTGTACTAAATACCATGCATATCTAAGAGAGCTTAGATCTTTTGAACATGTTGTTGTCCTCTTTTACTTTCAGTACGTTGTATTACATTACAAGATTTGTTGTATACTTTTTTGAAGCATGTGTTCTTAATGTCAATGTACAGGCAACCAAACTTACGATTCAATTATTTACTCAGATTTTATGAAGGAAAATAGCCTGTACATGTAAGTGAACAGTATGTCAACTATATAAAAGCCCACAGCCTACTTGTATAGTATTACAGTATATAAACTATACTCGAGATCACTATCATAGTTTAAACTATACTGAAGTTCACGATTATGGTTAAATTATACTTGAAGTTCACTGTTGTAGTTTAACTATACTAAGAGTTCACCATTATAGTTTTCTTTACTGGAGTTCACTATTGTACTTTTAACTGTACTGGAGTTCACTATTATAGTAAACTACACAGTGTGTACCAGATTTTACTGTATTTGCATTTTAATTAACCAGTATTCTGAGGTCTAACTTCGCCAGTTAAGTAGTGGGTAAGGTAGAGGTCATCATTGGATACCCATATAGAAACAGTAGATGATGAGTCGGTGAGAAATTTTAGGCTAATCTGTGTCTGGCATAAAAGCAATATTATTTTACCACTATAGTCTTCCTTGAGAGATTGTCTATCCTAAAAGTCTTACATACAAAGGATGGAACTGATTTGTAAGTAAAAGGCATGTTTATTCAGGTAATGTAAGAAATAACTGTTGAAAAAAAGGAACTCCAAGAAATCCAGTTGTAGTACTTATATACATACAATGTAGTAGTGTTTGTGTACTAAATTTGTGTATCATTTGTAAGATAATAGTGTTTGTTCTATTTGTAAGACAGTATGTGTGTATTATTTGTGAGACAGTAAATAATATATGTACTATTTGTAAGACAATAATGTGTGTATTATTTGTAAGACTTTATTGTGTGAAGTGTTTGTGAGACAATATTGTGTACTGTTTGTGAGACAATATTGTGTGCTGTTTGTGAGAAAATATTGTGTGCTGTTTGTGAGACAATATGGTGTATTATTTGTAAGAACATGTTGTTTGTGTATCATTTGTAAGACAATATTGTGTAAGACAATATTGTGTATCATTTGTAAGACAATATTGTGTAAGATAATATTGTGTATCATTTGTGAAACAATATTGTGTATCAGTTGTAAGACAATATCGTGTATCATTTGTAAGACAATATTGTGTAAGACAATATTGTGTATCAGTTGTAAGACAATATTGTGTATCATTTGTAAGACAATATTGTGTAAGACAATATTGTGTATCATTTGTAAGACAATATTGTGTATCATTTGTAAGACAATATTGTGTATCAGTTGTAAGACAATATTGTGTACTGTTTGTAAGACAATATTGTGTATCAGTTGTAAAACAATATTGTGCAAGACAATATTGTGTATCATTTGTAAGACAATATTGTGTATCATTTGTAAGACAATATTGTGTATCATTTGTAAGACAATATTGTGTATCATTTGTGAGACAATATTGTGTATCATTTGTAAGACAATATTGTGTATCATTTGTAAGACAATATTGTGTATCAGTTGTAAGACAATATTGTGTGCTGTTTGTGAGACAATATGGTGTACTATTTGTAAGAACATGTTTGTGTAGGATGTTTATAAGAATCTGTTGTTATTTAGTTACCAGTATCTAGTGTAGATGAGGGTAGTCAGTATTGCCCGTGTGCCATATTCTTTGTTGTTGTAAGTGTGTTTTATCCTGTTGTATTTGGGTTTTTGCTTTAGATGTACATAAAATTGGCACAAGTGCTTAACCTGTTATACCATTTATACTATAATTTTGTAAAGTCCATATGATTATATTTTTATTAAGGAGATATAAGCATTGTTGTTTAATTAAGCTGGTGTGACATTATAAATCTGTTTTTGCTACATATTTTAAATAATCAATTTCTCAGCTCTCTGAAATTTCCCAAGAAGTTGTCTTGCCCAGAAATTTTCTCTCAAGTTATCCTGCCGCGGAAATTTCTCTAAAATTGTCCTGCCATACATATCCCTTGCTCCAGCCATACCCCCTCCCAGACATGCCCCAGTGTGTAATGTGTTGTTGTAGTATCTACATTCCAGGGACCAGATATATATATATAATGGCTATTGTCTTTATCATCTTTACTACAATATAGAAACTTTCAGTATCACATTTTTTTTTCAAATTTGTTATTTGTTTATAATGATCCCGATTCATTATCATTACATAAGCCATTAAGCATTGTCCATAATTACGTAACAGTAACATATAATTACACTTTCATGGGTATATATCAAATAATCCATTGTTCACTATCATATTCTTTTATTCCTTTATCCCACATTTATGTCAGTCATATAGAAAAGGTTTATTGTGTGCAATACTGAGTAGAATCAAATCTTGTAACCACAGTATAAATCACAGTAAATATTCCCCCAGTTCTTTTAACTTTCAAAAGGATGTTACTTTAATAATGATTTGATATACAAGATTTTAATATGCTGTACATTGTAATGGTTTGTAATGGAATATTAACTACCGCATTCTCTACAATGGGCTTAATTATTTTAAGTTCAACTCTTTTAACATTGCATATTTTAATACATTATTTGTTCAGGAGTGTAATGTGCTGTACTTGTTACATGTGGTGTTATTTAAGAAATATACCATTGACAAGTGTTAAAACGGTCATGTATACAGTAATGTGGCGTCTTGAGGGAGAGCCATGTCGAGTCGAGGTGGCGCCATGTTGTGTCGAGGTACGACCATTTGGTGTCTCAAGGTGCGGCCATGTGGTATCTTGAGGTACGGCCATGTGGTTTCTCTGAGTAAAGCATGGTGATGTCTCGAGGTACAGCCATGTAGAGTCTCAAGGTAAATACATGAGGTGTTTTCAGGTAGTCATTTGGTGTCTCAAGGTACTGCAATTAGGGGTCTCGAGGCACAGTCATAAAGGGTTTACATTAATCCATGCAGTGTCATTTAGTTGCCGTTGAGTGTCTCGATTTGCAACCATGTTTTATCTCAAGTTACATTTACATAGTGTCTTTGACATAAGGCCATGTAGTGTTTGGAGATAAAGCCTTGTTGAGTATTGAGGTTCACTCACGTGATTTCTTGAATAACAGTCGTGTGTAGTCTCGAGGTAAAGCCACATGGTGTTTTGAGGTAAAGTAATAGTGTCTCTACATGTAGCCATGTGGTGTCTCGGAAGTGCGGCTATATTGTTTCTGGAGGTGTAAATCAAAGCTATGTGGTGTCCTAAGGTACAACTACTTGATGTAATGGGATGTCGCACTTCCTTACACCACTTCATATCCTCTTCAGTTTTTGTTAACGAAATATGCTGCAATAAATTAAATAAAACAATAATCACACTTTTACGTTATTGTTTGTAATTGAAAGTGAAGGAAGTAGAAGTTTTAGAGATGAGCAGGATATGAAACTAAAATACATTTTCCGTCTTCAAGGAAGGAACGCACAGGACTGAACAGGAAGCAGCCGGGAAGATCTGCACTGTGCATCAGTTGTAGCAAAAAGACATTTTAGTCACATACGGTGTCGATAAAACGATCTGTAATGCTACTGTCAAATCAAACAGCATCTGTAAAGGCGAGAAATATAGTAATGTTAAAAAACAAAAACAAAACATTAATTTACTCTGTACCACAATAAGTTAGGTTGATTAAACCAATGTTTATTTGCAGTTTTATCAAACTGCTATTATTTTATATTTTCTGCGTCATGTTTTAAGTTGTACAAAGTTTCTACATTTACGTACAATATAGATAATATCAGATATAAGTAAACAGGATGCGTTAATACTCTTCCCAGAAGGACGGAAAAGGCCACAATTTGTGAATAAAACCTTCTTTTAAAAAAGTATTGTGTACAACCCGGTACAGACGGAAGTTTGACACCAAACACGACAATAGAATCCCGACCATGTAGACCGTGACCCTTACAAGGGTCAGTGTATTTGTAGATATATGCACTGATTTCCCATGTCTCCACTCTACAGATCGCCATTGATGAGATGTGCATCTTTCCTTAGAATAGCATATAGTACATAGTATAAAAAAACAATGGTACGTCTTTCTGGGTCAACGATGGTGGAATTGATATATCTGGTAGGTGACTAATGGTAGCACAACTGGCCGTGATTAATATCAAGATACATATATGTATATAGACAAGGAAGTGAAATAGCCCCATAATTAGAAAAAAATATATATAATCAGTATCGGAGGATCATTAAAAACAAAAAAGAAAACACCAACGTATCAAATCCTTGAGCCATTGTGTGTCAGTTGTGTCTATTCTGAACCGTGCTGCCATTTCTTAGATGATACGAGAGAGGGGCTGATTACGTACAATGTAGTCTCATATTACACGAGTCACCTTTCACATCCCTGTTTGCTGCTTTCATCCAATTAAATATCCATAAATATGAAGAGTCCTTTATCGATCCATAGTTAATTATTTTTAACAATGAGTAAAACATCATAGATATTACTAAATAAATTTTTATTTGCAAGAGAAATAATCGTAACAAAGTAATTATCTGAATACATCAGAAAAATAACAAATTAGTGGATTATAAAAATAGGTCATTGCAAATATACTACACATAAATTACGTATCAGTCTGTAACAGAGGATTTCACAGCATATAATACAACGTAAATAGCCTTTCAAACCATAGTATCTAGTTCTGACTTTTGACAACCCTCTGTAATGAATGATCACATGACGACTCACTGTAACGAATGATCACATGACGACTCACTGTAACGAATGATCACATGACGACTCACTGTAACGAATGATCACATGACGACTCACTGTAACGAATGATCACATGACTCATTGTAACGAATGATCATATGACGACTAACTGTAACGAATGATCACATGACGACTCACTGTAACGATTGATCACATGACGACTCATCGTTACGAATGATCAAAGGACCGACCCATCGTTACGAATGGTCACAGGACCGACCCATCGTTACGAATGGTCACAGGACCGATCCATCGTTACGAATGATCACAAGACCGACCTATGGTTATGAATGGTCACAAGACCGACTCATCCTTACGGACGGTCACAAGACCGACCCATCGTTACGGACGGTCACAAGACCGACCCATCGTTTCGGACGGTCACAAGACCGACCCATCGTTACGGACGGTCACAAGACCGACCTATTGTTCTATTTCTTTGGACCATGTGTATAATCGTTGTTCGCAACTCCAGCGACTTTTAAAAAATATTCATTCAGAAGTGACCGTTCAATGTGAGGAAGTGCTGACAAATCGAATGTTTTCACAGTGACTAGGGATAGTCATAGTATGGAACTCCATAATACAAAAATAAACACAAAAATGCATTCATAATTTAAATATGGACAGCTTCCCTGTATGAATTTCTTCCGTTCTCAGGCATATTCGTTTATGTATGGTGTCGGATTGCAGCCTTGTTTTCGTTATTGCGTTGACAAGGCGACAACATAACCAAAATGAATGCAACAGAAACGCTAAGCAGAGGTGATAGACATGGTTGATGAATTATAGCGTCTCATTGACTAGGACAACAACGCGAAATCAACTACCACAATAATTTGAACGAAAATTTTATGTTTGAAAAACCCGTTTTTCTTTTATACATATTTTAAGCAACAAAATGGCATTCATTAATATTTTGGACGTTTACTCTCAGTTTGTGATGTAATTCAAACAAAATGATAGAAGAAAGTTTTTGGCGGGAAAATGGTCGTGCACTTTCCAGTTGAAATTTCATTTAACGTGACATCATTTTTCTGAGAGTCTGTAAGACTGGTACAACTCCTGATTGGATGACGTTCTCATATAATTTACACATAGTTATGGCTCGATTATGATACTTTGTAGTTTTTAGTTATTCATAGTGCAAAGTTGATCCTGCACTTAACCAAGTAATGTAAAATATCCAACTTAATAGATAGGATATCTAATTTAGGAAACAAGATACCTAAATTACCTAATCAAACATCTTATGAATAATATAAATCTAATTTGGCAAATAATATTTCTAATCTATTTAAGAAATTAAACATCTTCCCAAATAAACAAGATATCTTATCAAATTTGTTTCACAACATATCTAAGTAATCAAATTTTGTTAGAAACATACAACGTGTGTTATATGCTAGACTAAATCTTTTATCTAATAAATTAGATATCTAGTAGATCTGTTTCAGTAAATTACATATCTTGTCTAGTAGATCTATTTCAGTAAATTACATATCTTGTCTAGTAGATCTATTTCAGTAAATTACATATCTTGTCTAGTAGATCTGTTTCAGTAAATTACATATCTTGTCTAGTAGATCTGTTTCAGTAAATTACATATCTTGTCTAGTAGATCTGTTTCAGTAAATTACATATCTTGTCTAGTAGATCTGTTTCAGTATATCTTGTCTAGTAGATCTGTTTCAGTAAATTACATATCTTGTCTAGTAGATCTGTTTCAGTAAATTACATATCTTGTCTAGTAGATCTGTTTCAGTAAATTACATATCTTGTCTAGTAGATCTACTTCAGTAAATTACATATCTTGTCTAGTAGATCTGTTTCAGTAAATTACATATCTTGTCTAGTAGATCTGTTTCAGTATATCTTGTCTAGTAGATCTGTTTCAGTAAATTACATATCTTGTCTAGTAGATCTGTTTCAGTAAATTAGATATCTTGTCTAGTAGATCTGTTTCAGTAAATTACATATCTTGTCTAGTAGATCTGTTTCAGTAAATTACATATCTTGTCTAGTAGATCTATTTCAGTATATCTTGTCAAGTAGATCTATTTCAGTATATCTTGTCTAGTAGATCTATTTCAGTAAATTACATATCTTGTCTTGTAGATCTGTTTCAGTAAATTAGATATCTTGTCTAGTAGATCTGTTTCAGTAAATTACATATCTTGTCTAGTAGATCTGTTTCAGTAAATTACATATCTTGTCTAGTAGATCTATTTCAGTATATCTTGTCAAGTAGATCTATTTCAGTATATCTTGTCTAGTAGATCTATTTCAGTAAATTACATATCTTGTCTTGTAGATCTATTTCAGTAAATTACATGTCTTGTCTAATAGATCTATTTCAGTAAATCATATATCAAGTCTTATCTAGTAGATATATTTCAGTAAATTACATATCCTATCTAGTAGATATATTTCAGTAAATTACATATCCTATCTAGTAGATATATTTCAGTAAATTACATATCTCATAAATTTCAAATAGGGTACCTTATAAAAAACTCAAGATATATTATCTAATAGATTAGTTATCTTATTGTTTCATGCACTGAATCAACATTGCTCCATGACTGCTTGCCATAAAGTAGATAAATTTTATCTGATAAATTTGTGCAGAATGCATTTACAAGTTTTATTTACGTGTATACACTTACCAATGTCACAGCTCTGGCTACAGTTAAAAAATCAGTCTAAGATTAAATGAACGATTCCTTAAATATACAAGTAGGAAGTAAAAATAAATCATTTCATTATAATACACGTATATAACTAAAATGATGAATACTGGCAAAATACACACAGATCAACAATAGTATCAATATAATAGCAGTATATATTAGTATACCATAGTTTTACATAGTATCAGTATGATTTAAAACCATTTCAATTTTATCAACAAAATTTAAGAAAAGAACAAACTTAAAAAAAAAGAAAATATAAATTTTATAGAAAACATTGTTACCTACAAACTAGTTTACATCTTAATTACGAAATTAGACAAAAAAAATCGGTAAAATTATAAAAGAGAGAATACTAAATCTATAAGCAGTATAACTACACAATGAGTAAACTGTATGCTAATTAATTCTGGTTCTATCATCCCCTCCTCTCCGTCAATGTAAGATGTAGTACTGCTTTATAATACTGTATCAACAATGTGATTAGGTACTGAACAAGTGTACTTTGGCATTGGTGTCTGGTAAAGTGGTATAAAATATTTGGTGTTTCATTGCTCTCTCCTTTGCTAAACATATGAAATTATATAGAATAAATCGTATGCTACACCCCAGAGGGATTTGGAGAAACTTTCTCTAAACCAGTGGCCTCATAACACTGTATCTCCTGCTAAATCAAGCATCGAAGCTCACAACACATCAAGTATACTATAGAATACTACTGACAATACATGACTCACTCACTGATACATCTTGTCGTACATAGTGTAAGCATTGTCATTCTACGTTGTCCTGGGTACTCAAAATATGTTCCATGAAATTATTGCTACCAAAAAGCAATAGTGGCTTTTAAAACAAAGCTTATCCTCTAAATTAATCAAGCTTAGTTCATTTTGATAAATCTCTAATCCTGAATTCGACATATGGCTCCTTTCGTCATTAAACAGTGTCTTCCTTAGCTTGTCCGCTTGCAGTAGGTACTTGGTCACCTTGGTAAACCTGTGAAGTTCTAATCGCATGTGCACTCGTCCATTCCATCGCTGTTTTCACGAAATCCTCTTGGTTATTGATGTACATGTTGGCTATGTCAGGGTTAGCCGGGTTATCGGTGTTAGGGGTGTGCATCAGGGACGAAATGGCCATCAGAACTACAGGCATGAGACAAAGGGTTCTTTTAGAAACGAATACAAGCTATCAGATCTAACATGTCTGTTGCGATTGGAGTATATTTAACTACATCCATCTGTTTGATAATGCGTTATGAGGCAATGGTTTTACACTATCAAGTCATGAATTTATACTTGAAAGCCATGGTTTTACACTATCTAATCACGGCTTTACACTAGGAAGGCGTGACTTTACACTTTAAGTCGTTTATAACATTTAAATGATATTTCTTTCTTCTTAGTTTACAATGTTTATATATATACATCAAAAATGCTGTGCAAATGTGATAATTAATGTGATTTTAATTCACACTACAGACACTCTCGGCATTCATGGCGACATGAATTTAAACAATATAATTAACAGTCTTTCCTCGTTGTGTTTATCTTTGGTATTCCAAATGCATTTTGTTAACATAACCTATTGCTTTGTGAGAGATATAAACGCCAAGGTTCACTGCCGGTTCATTTTTAGGTTATTTTAGTTACCAAGCTGTGTTCATGTCTTCACCGTTTTGTTGTCTTCTCTCTTTTTTAATTACTATTTGAGTACTATGTTTTCACAGAGTTACAGATTAAACGCAAATTACCAAGTATCTACCATACCGTTTTACTTTTAAGATTCATAATTCAAGAAGTAACGTGTTCTCCGTTACATACTCACTGTACGCCACTGAAAACGAAGGCTTCCGTTACATACTCACTGTACGCTATTGAAAACGAAGGCTTCCATTCCGATTGTAAAAAGTCCATACAAATCTTGCCATCTTTTTCCACATTTGGGTGAAATATCTTGGTGCCGAACTTAATCTGGTTCAAAAGTGAAATAAAGAAATTATATGAGCTGTATACCGAAATAATACAAACGATATATTTTTACTTTACATTCGGTAAATTGCTATTTCGCAATACTACGATAGCAGGAGCAATGTATAGAAATATCAACCAACGGCACTGGAAACAGAATAGATATGAAGGAGTACTTGATCTTTGCAAAAATGAAAACCCTACTAGGCTATAAAGATACCGATACTTACCTTAGGTGGTCTGAAGGGATAGTCTGTTGTAAATGTAATTTCTAAACAAAAGAGGCCTCCGAAATATGGACTGTTTTCCTGCAAGTGTAACAAAATACTAATTAAGATATGTGGTATTATATACAAGACCCACTTACATACGGGTACTGATATAACTACTTACATACGGGTACTGATATAAAACCTTACATACGGGTACTGATATAAAACCTTACATACGGGTACTGATATAACCACTTACATACGGGTAGTGATATAACCACTTACATACGGGTAGTGATATAACCACTTACATACGGGTACTGATATAACTACTTACATACGGGTAGTGATATAAACACTTACATACGGGTAGTGATATAAACACTTACATAAGGGTAGTGATATAAACACTTACATACGGGTACTGATATAACTACTTACATACGGGTAGTGATATAAACACTTACATACGGGTACTGATATAACTACTTACATACGGGTAGTGATATAAACACTTACATACGGGTACTGATATAACTACTTACATACGGGTAGTGATATAAACACTTACATACGGGTAGTGATATAACAATTTGTATTACATTATGAAATAGATAGAGGCTCTGAGTTATCATATACAACTAAGGAATTCAGTGTAAGCATAAAGACAATGTGTAAAAACTTATCAACATAGATGTTTAAAATTTAACTGTTCAAAAGTGAATCAGGTTTTGAATATTTTTTAATAATAATTGTGCATATGCTTATAATTTGGCAACTTCCAAACGACTTGATAAATCTTCAAATACCAAAAGGAATAGATATAAAATTATAGTTACCGGGCCTGGTATGACAGCTTGACAGTGTAACACTGAAATGAAAAAAAATTGAATAGAGGAAAAAAGACACCATATGTAACAAGGTATTAACTCAAAGTCAAATCAGAAACATCAGCAAGAACTTTGTAAATAACCAGAAGCATACTGTAACAGACCAGATACAGTAAAAGGTTCAGGAAATCACATATGGAGTTCTGTAAAATCGAAAAGATTCATTCAATGATTTCAAAAAAATCCATTTAGGCCTTGGTGATTAACTGATTCTTAAATTTATTGTGGTATACGTTTAACATAGATACCAGTGTATTACATGGTCGCTTTTGAACTTGATTATCAATTCACTACTTCTTTTACCACCAGCTGAAAAAATATGTGAGACGTTTCGATGACTTCACTCATGACTGTCACCTTCATCAGAAATATGACCAGTGTGAAGCGCATTTACACCTAGGTATGCAATGTACGAGGTTCACTGGGAAAAATCTGCTACGTTCGTGTATAATGAACACGTTCCATTATTCGAATGAATTAAAACGTGGCATTCAGGTTATCGTAAACATCAAAATTGGCCAAAATATGCGTTAAAAATTGGAGGGGCAGTTAATTTATGAAGTTATGCCTCGTTAAAAATCAAGTGATGTTAATATCACATATAATGTTAACTCACTATCATCCTCCAGTGGACCGGCCGATAGACCGCACTCGTCTGGAATGTCCCGGTATAGATCCTGTAGTTGCTGGAATTACAGCAAATCTGAACGTCATGCCGTGATACACTGAATGACACTTTAATAAATCTCGGATACATTAACAGAGCTGTTTATAAATAAACGATCTGTCATATATTTCTACATGTAATACATCTAACAAATGGTATTTTTACAGTTTATCTCAACAGGTGCCGAAACCGAATGAGAAAATTTAATGCATTTGCGCCAGTGGACTAAAACCTGGCTTTTATGCTGTTGAATGTCTAAACATAAGAGCATCTCGAAATTGGCCAAACGATAACTGGATATACCCTGATACGACATGGTGAAGCATTTATGATGACAACGGTGAACGTAGACTATCAACTTCAACACACACGAATACAAAAAAATAAGCATACAAAGACCAACAGATCATACAAAAGTCTTCACGAGTATTTTCTACATGATCCCGTCAATTTTCACTACCCTCTACCACCCTGCTCGTTCTCATTATCTACAATACGGACAACGTTTTACTTCAAATAGCGAAAATACCAACGGAAGTGTCCAACGCAGATTTACCAAAATGATGCTTAAATTCTCGTCATTAAAACATAACCAGAACTATTGAGACAGTTTATCAATACTGGAATACACGAGAGAGTATGTGACAGAACAATAAAAAAAGGACAACAACGACGACATCGCGGGGGGTAAAGGATTTCTTTTTTTGTTTTGGCAGGGGGGGGGGCTGAGGGGGTGAGGGGGAGAAACCTGTAATCTAATACTTAATTAAACAAATAGATACACTCTGAAAAAATGGTCACACAAAAAGTAAATCAAATAAAACATTTTATTAGCCGAGGAACATTCCAATTTTTCTGGAACAGTTATAAATTGCTGTAAGAAATAACAGCATATAAGTGATGGACAATCAAACTTTTACAGAATCCATCCTTTCGGTGAAGTGGAAATGGGATTGATTACTTTCTTTGTTTGGATGATGGATAGTTATGTTCTTTTTTAAATAACGACATTTGCTCGAAGGAGGTGTAGACAATATCAAAATGGTCAACAAATCGGGAAATTCAGTACCCTGCTCTGTCATTTGTGAAAGAGGAAACACGATCAAGCATATCTTTTTTTACATATTTTACATGACGAAGAGTCCACCAAAAGAAGAGATCCAGTACTTTTATTGTATAACTATTTTTTTTAATTTCGTGTACGGACTTCAGATATTGAAAATCACATGTGAACCATCCTCGTACAGAAATCAAAACAAGAGTTAGTTTCTGTATGTATGCTAATACATATAGTCTACTAGAAGACCTAACTAACACCCAAATCGATGAAGACATTTTCAACTAGATATTCGACATATTTACTATTTGATAATTATTTCTAACTTCACAGATAATAAAATCATCAAATCTGACCCATACATATACATGTATGTCCTTACTTTTTTCGGGCATTCATACCGGGACCAAATAAACATGTCCTATATCTTTATTAGATTATGGATTTTTTTTGCATTATTATAAAAAAAAGGAGAATATATCAATTTAGACATTTTTAGAAGTACATGTGCTTGTTGTACAAGTGCTTGTTGTTGTCATTTAAATGACCCTATCAGTTTCTTCCATTCCTTCTCCAGTACACCTGTATGTCTTCTGCTTGTAGTCACCTTATATAACGCCACGAGTACACTGTATTTATATATATCCTAGCAATTAGGGCTAAGAAGTCATGATTATTATGTATTATAATAGAGCAACACTAAATTAGGTCATTAGGTCATATATGTTTGCAATGCTGTTTAAAGGAGTAACCTGTATACCATACGTTTCTGTGTTACCTACATAGATACTGCTAGCTCTCTTCCAGAATCTGTGTGTATATGGCTATAGTATGCGGTCGTCACCCTGTAGAAACAGGTGTGTAGAAGGCGCTATTGTGTACACTAATGTTTGATGACAATATCTGTTGATCTATATCTATGTGGCCACCTGTGGTAAACAATAGCTATGAATACTACAAAATCTTACCTTTGTGATCAGCTTTAACGCCATAGTAATGCTCAGAATTTGTCTCAAAAATGATCACACCCGAGTAATATCTACACCCAACATTATTGTTTACAGTAGAAAGTGTCAATTTTCACCGGACTTACAAGGGAGACAACGCTGAATTACAGGTGAGAAATCGAAGGTGGACGTCAATCATTGTGCGTATGTGGAAGGATTTGATAAGCTTCTAAACGCAGTATCTGGGAGCTAGACATTTTTAACGTTTCTGATAGGATAGTAAATGTTTATTTTATCGTCGAACCTCGGTAAATATTAAATATCTTACCATAAACTTTAGCATATATGTACATAATGTAATATCTGAGACAAGCTCAGCAAGCTGGCGATAGGCCTACTCTGATTTCTGACATGATGACATTAACCTGGAAAAGAACAAAGCCATGTACAGCGTACATATAGTCCTGTGTTTGCCTGATCTGAGTGGATATTTTACCTTTTGATTTTCTCATCCTATATTGGCCTGAGAAGGTCCTCACACCGGGCTTACGCCGGACTTCGAGCGGACTTACGCCGGACTTACACCGGCTTTCTAGGATTCCAACCTCTGTGTTTTGGGAGTTACCAATTCCGAGGTGTACGTTTTAAATACGTTTTGTAGAGGAATTCTTAGAATGCCCTAAATCAGTCTAGCCTATTGTAAACACTAATTATCTGATGGTGATGGTATAATGTCTTCTGATTAACCATTCTAGGACATTGATTGTGTTTCCATTAGTCAGGCATTCTTTCTTGATATTTAAAATGATTTCACTCGGTACCTTCAGTACGATGAAAGTTAGGTGCAGGGTTGATCAATTGAGCCTTTTGAAAAATCCTAATTAGGATCTTTATGCCATGTTTTCTAAAATCTGCCTATTTTTTTGTACATTTAGAACACATTTGTTGGTTTAGTATTATCCAACCAATACCTCATCCTCGACACTCCAGGGGTTTCGACATAGAGACACACAGTTTTACATAAATTACAAGTTGTAGTGTTAATTCAGAATATTTATGAAGCTGACATGACAATAAAACATGCACGCATACTGTAATGTGAAGTTAGAGTTCAATTCCACAGTATCACAAGCAAATTAATTTGGATTTGATCTCTATTAGTGTTTGAACTTCAACAGACTTCTTTGACAAATCATGTGGTTTATTGAAAGCACGGACACTGAACGCGTTCTTTCGGAATCTGTTTACCGTCACCTCTCATTCAAGACTCTGGTTTTGTTTGGAAAAGTTCAAATGCTGTATAATATTCACAGGTTAACTTTTGATACTCAATTTCCTGTTTTAACGCAATGATGGCAGACCGAAAACTAACCATCTTTCTTGATATAACCTGTCCCTGGCCCTCTATCTCAATTCCTCCTCAATGGGTATTTTTTTAATGATTTGCTCGTCTTTTAACAGCATTGAATACCAAATTGTCACAGGGCACTCGGTTTAACGTAGGACGAATGATTTATACAACGTCAAAACACAGTCTTTGTGCGCAGATATTCACAAACGAACTTTTGGCCAGATTGCTTTAGACAGTGAAAGTACACAATATGTTTCGATGTTTTCAATAAATTTTAAGGAAGATTATTTGATGTGTTCAATCATGCCTCGATACGTTTTCTGTAAGATGATAAATTGTTATTATTACATACATTGTAATTGCATTTGCGTCAAAATGATACGTTTTCTATTGACCGTAACATCCAATGTCCACTCTCCTGGATCTTCACGTGTGATATCCGCATGCAAGTTGATAAATACTGTTATTAGTATGTAACCATGATAGTTATTAGAAAAATTACACCGCTCGGCTACAGGCATATTCCTTTTGACCTTGATCAGCAGTTCCGGGTTCGGATCCCACAGACGGCTTCCCTGTAATAAATAACGGCCTCTGGTATATGTGTCATTTGGCAATGCTCTAGTTCAAAAAGATGAAGTATTGGAGAGTCTACAAGATCAGTTATGTACTTGTAGATATATGCAAGGTGGTTCATGGAGAGATATTACCGTACATCATTACCACAGGAACTTGGCACGAAGTTCCAACCAATGGTCCATATGTGTATTATGGTCTAATATATATATAGCTGTACCAAGGGTTAGAAATTCGTGCCAAGTCCCTGTGTTCACTACTAAATTGTATACTTAGCGCCTGTCCAATCTTATGCTATATACTCGTTGGTTTATCTATGAAGAAAGATTTGATACATGTGGTGGTTTAAATACAATGTTCTTAACCTTTTACCATTCTAACACGAAACACTGTTGAAAAGTATTTCGTAAACAAATGTTTTGTCTGTTTGTCAAGAACTTCCCTTATCTAAATTAAGACCATTCTTTTGTATACCCAATAAGATATTTAATTTAGCTATTTAAAAAAAGGTTCCCATGCAATATCCAAATTATAGTAAAACTTTCATCAAGGTTTGAGAGCACGCTTCAAGTTGAACCATAGAGGACAACGACCTGGATTCAGACGGTCGAGTTGTGTTCCAGGAAAAAAATGTTGATATCTTAATAATAAATCTTGTGGTCACCGGAAATAACATCACACCTTCCGGATTCGCGCCGTCAACATCTATTTTGTTTAAGGAAGAAAAGTTTTCTCAACGACCACCACGAATATTGGACTTACTACCAACATCACAAACATGCTAGAAGTTATAAAAGATAGGCACATGTTTAAGATAAAATATTTAAAAAAGTATCAAATCATGCAATATTTAAGCCCATGAAAATATCAATAAAATAATTTAAAGCAAAAATGTCTAATAGTGAGTAGTCACACTGCAGGAACGCGTTAATCTGTAATGTCCCATTGATATCGTTATCAGATACGGTAAACATATATGTGTTTATTTTTTTGTTGATCAACTTGTCACTTGAATTCTGTTTCCTCATCCGCTGCTCTCAGTACTAGCTTTTCTGTCCGAGACGAATGTTGACAATATTTGTAAAATTGAGCATTCATAGCGCGTTTTTTCTGTAAATCTTAGTTTTAAATGGGATGAAATGTGATAATTTTAATGAATTCAAATTTAAAACGAGTGTCACGTCATGGGACTTTGTACATCTTTGGGGTCAGAAATTGGGACGCTATCATAAACTGTATTTAGGTCATTACAGAAATAAAAGGACTTTTTCATTATTTTTCTCTCCGTTAGCACACATTCATCAATCTTTTTAAACAAGTTAATATTTCTAAATCGAATAGAATTATCAATAATGTATTTTTCCGGAAATTGTCCTCTGTGCCGACGTTATACATTTTCACTTTTAGAGTTACCGGAAGTTGTCACTGTTAGCACGATGGAGGTCGTTTCGAACATAATCACTGTGTATTTACCTAATTATTTAAGTAATTTACCAGTTCCCAAATCTCTATTTGGCTTCGCGAAGCTGTCTGGTGAGTAGTTGATATATATTTGCGTGGAAACAGTTTTAATTGCCACATCGACATCGTGGTTATATCCTCATGCATGTGCAGTATGTCACTCGTGATATTCCATCACCCCACGTTCTAAGATTGTTGACATTGGTTTGCTTTCTTGGGTCACAGAAACACACTTCATGCATTGTATTTTGTTCTTGCTTCTGCTAATTTGAATCACAGTTCAAACACTGGCACACCGGTACGGTGGCAATAATATGTGCAGGTTGCAAACATCAATTGATTAACGAGGATGTAATGCACAGTATCTCCAACGCGCCTTCATTATTACGAAGGCTCAAAATCCTCTGAACTACCACGTTGGCGAGTCTTAAAGTACTGTTTAAAAATAACTGGACAAAATGATATTTTTCAATTACAGGCTGAGATATTTATATATTTAGCTAATTAGCAACATAAATTTCGAAATCATGTCCACATTTACACAAAGAAACTGTACACGATAGGTTCTACCTCAATTTAATTTTGTGTTAGAGTTTCAGTATGTTCATCCTTACAAATCTTAGGATGTTTCACTAACTTCTTCAGACATACAGACATTTACATATAATGCTTCAAATGAATGTCGTCGGAATATACATGCCACATGTAATTTTTACTGTATTTGGCAGTGATAAAAAACAGCTGTATTTTAGCACATGTGGTAATTTGACCAAATAACTCTCTGAACTTAATTAATTATGAAAAGTTGTTTAAATAAGCGATTTTACATTTTGCAATGAACAAGTTGATTTTTTGGAAAATTCATAAAATCGTCATATCCGATGAAGGTTGGAATGCTTCTGTCTGGAGCAATTATTTTGTCATCAGGCAAAATTCATTTTAACGTCAACAACAAAACTGTTTAAGTTTCAATAGTGTGATTTTCAATCAATGGTGCAGTTTAAATAGAAAACATGGTCAGTGTCTTAAAATATAAGCTGTATTTTGGCGAGGGTGAAGATAGACAAAAGTGGTGAACCTCTGACGTACCAGCTTTGTCATTCTGTCCGGAGCAACAACTATTCTTCACCCTTGCCAAAATACAGCTTATATTTTAAGACACTGGCCATGTATTCTATCCAATAATATTTTAAGACCCATATTTTTGCTGTTCAGTTGTACAATGGTTTTCACTCAGGCCATGAGGAAAAGTGCCTTTGTTTGTGTACTCATGTTTTTAAAAGTAAACTGTTTTCTTGTTTCAGTTGTAGAATGGTTTTCACTTGTACCTGTTGTGGGAACAGTATCTTTGCTTGTGTATGTCACTTCACAAGCTTTTAAACCTAAGCCTCCTCCAAAGAAGAACCCTGTGAACCTGAAGATCCAAAAAGAAACACCAAAAGTGGTGAATTTGGTGGATATGGAGGACCTTGCAGACAAAGTAACTTACTGCAGATGCTGGCGTTCCAAGAAGGTATACTATAGACCAGAGTTTGAATGAAAGTAATTCCTGTAGCCTTTGAAGAATAGAAATAAAAAAGGATACAGGCTGTTATTTTGCAGAAATTGCATTTAGAATATACAAGAGGAAGCTGTTTCATCTTAAAAGACCAACTACTTTTATAAATTACCCAATTTTAAACCCTAAAATGGGTCTTTATTCGGCTGTTTTTAAATCTAGACATCTCAATTTGCCATCATAAAAGTTTAATTTTTTTAAAATGGTAAAATTTGAATGTAGAGATATATTGGATGGTTGCTCTCATTGGCACTACTGTTAAAGTTATTTATGCATAGTTCTTATTTTTAAAATTTTTGAGGTTGTATTTCAACCCTTAATATAGTTTCAGTCCAGTGAAAGTTTAGTCCAATTTACAAATGTTTTCATTGTATCTATAAATTTTATGTTCCATATACATGCTTATTCTGGAACATTAATGGCCTAAATGAGGTAAGGATATAAACAAAATGACCAATTTTATTAAAAGCACTAACATAAAGTATGGCACCTTTTACGGTATTTTACAAAACATTACAATCATGGTATGGGAAATTATGGATATCATGAATGTAAAAAAATTCTATGTGTTGTACAATGATTGAAAATTTCTCCACTTGCAGTTCCCTCTTTGTGATGGCAGCCACAACAAGCACAATGAGGAGACGGGCGACAATGTAGGGCCCCTAGTGCTGCGAAGAAAAACAGCAGCATAGAAGTGATACTGACCAAAGTGCTGATCATGAGGAACTCTCGCCTTCAGGATTAACATGATAAATTTACCTGTTATAACAATTGTGTGTATGTGTGAGCATTGAATGTGAAATTAAAATATTTAACAGTCTTTCGTAAAATTCAGAAAATTCAGGTCAAAAGAATTATATTTTCAAATTTGTTTGCTTGACATTACTGAGAAGGTCTGTAGTTGTAAATATCATTGAATATTTCAAATTTAGTGCTATCTAATACCTTTGTGGGATTTTTTAAATGTTTTTTTTTTGAGTACTTGTTATATATGAGTTATACTTTTTTTCCGTTATCAGAGAAAGTCTTTGTTAAACTACAAGTTCAAGTCAAAGGATTAAATAGGCCTATATAGCATAATTACTTGTCCTTTTTTAACACTCGCAGTGGTTACATACATACCTGTTTTTTTTTTATATAAGTGTGGAACAGTTATGATTCCAATTTTGAGTGTTTGCATTTGAAAGTATTGATAAAAAATCATAAAACATTCTTTCTTTAAAAAAAAAAGTTATGCAAGCAATATGATAACTGTTGCTGAAATATTATCATTTGCCCCCAGAAACAGTACTGTCTAAAGACAGGTACATACACCATAAGCAAAGGGTGTTAACTTGAAACAGATTTGTTTAAAGAAATAGCATCCCTCCAACATGCATATATATATATATATATATATATAAACGGAATATATTTCATCATTCCATTATTGCATTTTTATAAAGTTATATTTGTTTATTAATTAGCATATACAGCAGTATGTTCATTTTAATCCTCAGGTGTGAGTGCTTTATAAAACCAGGAAGTCCATAAAGTGTAGACCTCTTGCTGTGTTGTTACAGGGTTGTAGGGCATAAAAATGTACTTTGGCCAAATTTACCTTTGCAGAACATACCTATATACTCCTGATGGTACTATACATGCATACATTTATTATGGTTAGACGTGACCTATCATGCAGTCACTAATCACATATATTTTTTCTAAAATAGCTTAAATTTCATTACATGAAAAATTGTACTTGTATTTGAAGGTTGATGTAAACTTTTTTACAACTCATTAGTACAGTGTATACATATATCATCAACATTTGTCCACTATATCATGTAAGACAATTCTCACTATTTGGGAAAATTGACAGGCCTTTTTTGTTACCCTGTTACCAAACATTTTTGATGTCTGATTTTCTGCTTTTCAGTTTGATAAAGTTTGATTTTTTGATTACCCAGTATGTATGAATTTTCACTGATGTTTTTTGAAAGGCTTACTGTTTTCGCTGGTTTTTCACCTGTTTGAAATGATTATTCATTGATTATATCGCACAGAAATGATGGATTGCCTTCAACACACTATTACAGATAATCAAGATTCTAAAGGTTTTTTCTCTTTTTTTTGTAAATAGTAAACAAAATTGTGTGTATTGTCAGATACTTGTTGTCAATACCTCGGTCTACCATTTCATACTGGTAAAATAGAAGATGTTTTGTAACAATCTGTATTTGAAGTTTACTTGATAATTCATGTTTCTCAAAATAATAAAAAAAAATAGGAAACAGCTGCTATAAACAGAATCTCTATCTTCTTTATGATACTGGAAGGTTGTATAATTCTTAAAATTAGAAGGAAATGGCATAATATGAAAACATTGAAAAAATTTTTTTTAATTATAATAGTTTTTATAATTAGATGATAACTTCTATATATGAAAAAAAAATCCAGATTTTCTACATCAGGTGAAAGGAAAATTTTACAGTAAGTAAACTTAGAAGAAATCTAAAGGATTCAGTACAAATTGTATGCACAACTTGATATATTGTACACTGTTCACCTTACTAAACAGTTGAATTGGTTTATCTCTGATTTGTAGACTTGTTTATGTATGAGGAAGTGATTTAGACTTAAAGCAGACTGTCAAATAATGGAAGACATGAGAGCACTGTATTTTATTTATGGTCAATGGATTTTGTAATTAATAACAAAAATGAAGACAAATTGATACTCTGGTACAAAGCATATTGATGATAATCTTTTGACTAATTCTTGAGTTCTACCATTTTTTTGTATCATGTTTCTGATGACATTGTTATTTTGTGCTTGAGCAAGTTGATTGTGTTCATTGGATGATTTTTATGTAAATTGAAAATAAACAAAATGTTGCTAATATGTGTTTACAGTGATTGTGATGATTTTCAAGGTAACAGATAAGTTCGGCAAGTGTGTTATGTTTTACTTCAGACTTAAAAACAAATATTACAATATTTTATTACTTTAATACATTGTCAAAATGAATCAATAATTTGATCCCGTTCAAAACAACTATTTCTACTGGCTTAAGCAGCAGTGTACTAATTTCTCTTATGGAAGTCAAAATACTTTAAAGTGACAAATTTTGAGTCATATCGAGGTACAAGCTTTAAGCATACACTTTTTTCATGATGGACCTTTACATAAAAAGCACACAAAAACAGATGTTTAATTCAGAATCCTGTGGTAATAGGGACCTGAAGTTAAATTCAGAGGGAGAGTCGTTGAAAATCTTATCGGTCTGAACGAATGATAGAATACAGAAAACGAGGTTCAGTTCGCAATATCAAATATATAGACTAACTGGGTAATGAATTGCTAAAACGATTTTAAGATGGCACGTTTTATCTTCTAACAGATTATTTATCAATAAATATATGTTTACCTCTTTTTGATATTTTCTTGTTGTAAATTCACAACCTCAAAAACTTGATGAAGAAGGGATGTGTTTTTCGTTGAAGTGAAGAAATCGAATGTTGATTTCGGAGCGTCATTGATATGTATTTTAAAGGAATGTAGATTGTGTTTTAAACCATCCTCGAAAATAGCTAAAATTATAACATTAAAATCTTTATACTTCTTTTTTTTAATATCCTCATCAGGAGATTATATTAACCATATTCCGGTTGTAAATAATATACAGGTGTATTTTGACATATATTCTGACATGTTAATAACATTCTTTTATGTGGCACAGGGGTTCGGGAGGGGAATAAGGTTAACAATCGCTAAAATAACATCATTATGTGTTGTAGAAATCAAATAAAAATAGCAGACGAAATAACAATTTTCGGCAGAAAAAGTACTTTCGGTTTAAAACAAGTAGCAGAAGACCCAAAACTGTTTACTTTGAAATCTCACAAGACTTGATATAACATACATTTTCTTTTCAAAATTTAATAAAGAAAAAATAATTTGATATGACGACTCAGTACGGAACGACGGCTAGAAATAATCACCAGCTCGCATACACTGCGACACGTAATAGCACACATCAAGTGCTCCACTCTCTAAACGTAACGAACAAGACATTATAGCCACTATACTAGCGGAACGCGGGAATATTTTATTCTTGAGACTGATATTCAGTCTGAGTTTTCTCATAGGTACAAAACAAACAAACGGAAGTGCATATTTACAGTATTTCCCCAAGTATCCCACGAAATAGAACGTTAATTGTATCTCGGCTTTTAAAATTTCACATAAGAAAATACTGTATATTCTGTATTGATTTCGGTTTCGTGTTTACTATAATTTGTAGGATTTCAGGATGATACCTTGAAATGTTGTCCATCCTTGTTTGTTTTCGAAATCTTGAAAGTTATGTTGGGTTTTTCTACAATAGGCAACTACGGTAGTTGTCAGATTCCACGTGTAGATGGAGTTGTCTCTCTTGTATCAGATTATGTACTAGCTTCACCTTTCACAGACAACAATCCGACAATTAATATGGCGACGGTTAGATCCAAAATAAGCTTGAAGAATCTCTTTCAGGAGTGGGTGGTATTTGTAGCACATTCAGTGACTACCCATGAAATAGGATAACAGAATTCAAAGGGTCCATAGGGCCTGTGCTACGACTCATTTAGTGTCGTAACAATAGGAGTATGACAGAGTCCGGTTTTTCATCTGAAATTTTTTTTATTAAAACTACAGCGTACATTACCAAATGATATGCTGTTTTATTAACAAGGATCAGTTTGACAATATGGTATTAAATATGTATAATAATAAACAAAAAATCAGATGGTTTCAAATGGAAAAAGTAAGATTTTTTTGGACATTTTCCAGCTATGAAATTTGTTCAAATAACTGAAGCATGTTCTTCCACTTTGAGTGCACCAACATTTCAATAGTTAGCTTTGATGGGGCTCGACGGTGGTCAGTAATTCCTCAGAAAATCTGTTATAACAATGGTATACATAGACATAGGATGCCAGTTTTGAATAAGTAGATTCTGCTGAAAGTTTCCATGTCAAAAATAATTATAAATATTGTTATTTGATAAAAATTAACAATATCGAACTTGAAAATATGACATGTTTTCAACAGTTTCTCCTATGAGAAAAGTTTTCCTGAAAGAATATAAAAACTTATTTCCATTTTCAGTGCACCAAATATTTTTACCAAGTTATCTGGCTCATTATCTGAAGTGTATACAGTGAAAATTTCAGAAAAGTTGAGAACCAGTAAATTGCCATTTAAAGGCTCGAGCAAAGTTACATTTCAAGCAAATGCAATGAAGTTTAGGATGATGTATGGCACGAGTGAATCTGCACTCCTTTCAGCTTTTGGCTATAGTTTATGTTTGTCAGATATACTCCCCTACTTTTGGGCAAAATTAAAATCCAATTTATTATATAATGAAATGACTGTCTTAACAAATAGGTCCCAAACCTCACTCTCTAGATTTTTTGACAAAGGTTTTAGATATTTTGAACAAAATAATTGTGCCCAAATTTCTGGGCACTTACCATATCTCAATTTAAGTAGCCCTTGTATACAACACAGATTTTACAAAAGAAATGTTTGGGGGAAAAGTCAGCATCATATTTGGCGCAACTACTTGAAATTCATGTCCTTTGCGTTGCCCAATGGATATGTTTTGGACACTATTGGCCCTTACTGTGTAAGCAGCAATGATGCAACAATAACGAAGGGCATTGTTGAGCATTTTGATGTTATCAAAAGTTGGTTGTAAGACAGAGGTTCTAGGGACATTTGAGATGTCCTGGCAGACTTAGGGTATGATGCAAAAATGCCAACATTCTTGCCAGCTGGCAAGTCACAAACTGCCACAGTTCAGGCAAACAATGATCGCTTGTGTACAAAAAGCTAAATGAATGGTTAAATCGTATCACGGTCGTTTAAAGAGATGGGACCAAGACAAGCTGGTCCGCATTATTACAACAAGCTTGGGCTGCTTCAGAGGACCAATATATCAGCCTGACGTAAACCGGGAGCAGCGAGACACCATTCAAGATGGCACAACAAATGCTTGCACGTGTGAAAGAAGACAATCTCTTTGCAAAGAGATTTGAGGACGATCCAAGCATGTCGGGGCGAGCACAATCAGAGTGGAAGAAGCTGGAAGCATCCAGCATACCAAGTCCTTTCAAGACACTGGTTATGGATTCTGCTTTACCAGCAACACTTATTAAAATTTATCAAAACTTCCACATGCTGTGTTTAAACTCACGCGCCATCTTGTTCCTTACGAAGAATTCGAGCCCCGAACTCACCTCCACGTGAAAATATAGTGCCAAAGTTTTGCTGAAATAATGGCCGGAACAACTTGTAATCAAGCTACACATTTATCAGCTTATACTAATAATTCTCACTGGCAAGGTAAGAAAATCCCGGGGGCATGCTGAAAGGAAACCGGAGTACCCACGGCATGCTGACAGGAAACCGGAGTACCCATGGCATGCTGACAGGAAACCGGAGTACCCATGGCATGCTGACAGGAAACCGGAGTACCCACGGCATGCTGACAGGAAACCAGAGTATCCGGGGCATGCTAACAGTAAACCGGAGTACCCACGGCATGCTGACAGGAAACCGGAGTACCCACGGCATGCTGACAGGAAACCGGAGTACCCATGGCATGCTGACAGGAAACCGGAGTACCCACGGCACGCTGACAGGAAACCGGAGTACCCATGGCATGCTGACAGGAAAGTGGAGTACCCGTAGCACGCTGACAGGAAACCAGAGTATCCGGGGCATGCTAACAGTAAACCGGAGTACCCGTGGCATCCCGACAGGAAACCGGAGTACCCGTAGCATGCTGACAGGAAAGTGGAGTACTCTGGGCATGCTGACAGGAAACCAGAGTACCCACGGCACGCTGACAGGAAACCAGAGTACCCACGGCACGCTGACAGGAAACCAGAGTACCCATGGCATGCTGACAGGAAACCGGAGTACCCATGGCATGCTGACAGGAAACCAGAGTACCCTGGGAAACCATGTAGTACAGGTAATTACATTTACACTTCTGATATGAAATCGAACCTCTGCCGCTAAGGTGAAAGACGAATGTGATAATATAACTGTGACTATTGACATGAGGTCGCTTGTGATGTCAATAATCTGTCAGCCTCGTTATCGACTACAGAATATGCATGCTTACATATCGAGGATTATAACACTGTTACGTCATATCTGCAAAAAATCGCGTGCCTTAACTTTACGTCACCAATCACCCAACAGCAGGACCTGGGGTAAAACACGGTAAACACATTCACGTACATGTATTTTACATCTAGTAGATATTCATTATCAAAAACTTGTAGATGGTTAAGAGAGATATTTCATGGAATCAATGTACTGCCTGAAATGTTCCTTATGAAAAAATAAATCTACTGATAGAACATCAATAAAACAAATATAACTTTCAACTTTTCCTAGCTATTAAACTTGTGTAATCGACAATTATCTTCAGTGAACTATTAATGTTACATTTGTAGCAGAAAAAATTGAATCTAGTTGTAATATTATAAAATTTCCAACTTTGCGAACATAACCATACAAACTCCCGAAAATCACCGAAGAACTGATTATCTCAATAAACGTTATAAACTAAACTGTGGTTTTTGTCCATTGTTGATGCGGCGTATACACAGATTCCGAGATTGCTTATAACGATTTGAATTCATCAAACAGTTGTCAGAGCCAAAGAGCATCAGCTTAGAGTGTCTGTAGATTTATCAATTATAAAGGTTTATAACTTCATATTTGTGTATTACAGGCCTGTGGAGTTTTGCCCTCCAGTTACTGTGTTATCAAAAAAGGCAATAAAAACAGATTCAATTGCATTTATCATGTTGCTTCGGAAAAAACACAACCGCAGAC